CAGATAATATTTAAAATGCCAGTGTCTCACACACCAGGCCCAGTGACACATCCAGTCTCTGCCCTTCTCTCCCAAGACAGGCTGTAGGAATCAGGAAGCCTGTTAATCCACACATAAGTAATAATTCACACTTAGGTTGTGGAAATATATTCTTCCATTTGGAAACAACACCATCAACAGAAATCATTAAGCAAGTACAATTTGACGTCCTTAAAGATAGAGCAACAAAGTTAATGGGAAAACTAGTGTCCCCTCCAAATAGATGAGTATTAGTATAAATATTTAAATTACATAAATGAGTAACAACAGAAATATTTGGTGAATAATATTCTTTTATTAATTTTTTTAAAAATTCCAGTATAGTTAATATGCAGTGTTATATTAGTTTCAGGTACATAATATTCAACAATATTTAACAATTCTATACATTATTCAGTGCTCGTCATGAGAAGTGTGTACTCTTTAATCCCCATCACCTATTTCACCCATTCCCCCCAGAGTGTTGTAATATTCTTACACCAAGAATTGGATGTAGGAAAAACAAAGTTTTCTGAGAAATGACAAATATACCCAGATCCCCAGGGTGGTTGGATTCCCAATTCTATATCTAGCAAGTTACTTAACCTCTCTGTAAAATGGGCATAGTAACAGTACCTTCCATAGAGATTTGTTGTGAGTGAGCAAGAAAAATGCTCTCATGTGTAAAGTGTTCAGAACAGTGTCCAGTACATATTTAGTATTAAATAAGTGAATCCATCTAAAGGAATCACTGAAAAAGGTGTGAGGGGTGGAGTAAAATAAAAATTGGAAAGTAAGAGACAACCACTCTTTATTTGAAAATACATTTAGCTAGCAAGTACTATAGAAAATCATGTTGGAATAGTGATCAGAATTGCGTTAAACCTGTGGATTATATGGGGAGACCTGAGATTTTTACATTTTTGAATGTTACTGTCCATGGAAATGTCATGTCTCTATACTTAGTATTTAGTTCTACTTTAATAGTTTGCAATAAAGTTTTACAATTTTCTACATAAAGATGTGCCATATTTTTGTTAGATTTATTCCTAGGCCTTATTTCCTTTTGTTGCTTTTCCTTATATACTTTTATTGTAGTTGTGAATTATAGCACTTTTTATAAGATCTTTTTTGGGGTGCTGGTAACTAAAAATGCAATATAAATGTCACGTTGATATCTGTCAAATTTGCTAAATGCTTATGAATTATAATAATTTATGAATAGGATTTTAGTTTCCCATGTGGACAATCATATCTATCAATAATTATAGTTTTACTTCTTTTCCAATCATTTCACATATCTTTTTGTGTGATTGTATTGGTTGTGCTTTCCAACACGGTGGTGAATAGATGTAGTAGTGAGCACCTCTTTTATGTACCTAATTTTAACAGTGGGTTCACCTTTGAGTGGAATGTTTGTTCTAGGTTTTATACTCTTTAATCTGAATTTAGTTTTATTCTTAGTTTCCAGGGAATGCTTTTCCTTTTCCTTTTGGTGAATTGCACATAGTTATCTTGTTGAAATATTTCCTTGTCATAGATTACTACCTCTAACTTTTTAATTTAATTATTTTTTATTCTTTTGGATAAGTTAGACTTTAATACCTTTCAGTTATGAGTAGCATTACATGACAGTTCAGAGGTGTTGTTAATAATAATAATAATGATAATGATAATAACAATGATAATGATAATAACAATGATGGCAATTGACTTTTCCTTATTGGTTTTCTATTACATGCAAGGTTCACTGTGTGGTTTTGCCTAGTTGTATGATTTATCCTTGTTTCTTTCAATGATCTCCAAGTAAATGAGTGTCAACAGGTAAAATACATTTGTTCCAAGTCCCAGGCAATAAGTAAAGATGCCTAGATAAAAACTTAGTGTGATATATAAAAATTTATAACCCATGCTGGTCAGAAAATGTGATAGCTATAATACAATACAAATAGCCATTTTATTTTGTTTGCTATCCTATCTGGAAGCACATAACATGTCATCCCATTAGCATTCTTAATTTTCTTCCATATCTTCTCTTGAAAATTATATTTGTCATAATTGTATTTTTTTTCCTATGGATGCTATCCTTCATAGTATATGATTTTGCACTTTCAGCTAGGTACTCCTGGTACTGGAGTTGCTAACATAGGGGCCACTGAAGCTGGAAAGTAGACTGGAAGAAAGCCATGTCTAAGGAAAGGCAAGGAGTATTTGCCATGTAGCAATCCAGCACATAACTGAATTCGTTGTATAGCTGACAGACCCACCATGCTGCTCAGCTGATAAAAGACAAAGTAATAGAGATGAAGTCTCACTGTGCACTTGATGACCACATTTACCCCAAACAGGAGTTTGACTTGGAGAGAAAAGGACTTGCCAGAACCATGATGAGGACTTAAGGTTCTAAGCAGACATAACGATAAGCATGTGGGTTCATGGCTTAAAGTGTTCTTCAGAGGCGCCTGGGTGGCTCAGTCAGTTGAGCATCTGCCTTCAGCTCAGGTCATGGCCTCAGGGTCCCCAGGTGGGGCTCCCTGCGCAGCAGGGAGTCTGCTTCTCCCTCTCCCTCTGCCCCTCCCCCTGCTCATGTGTGCTCTCTAGCTCCCTCTCTCAAATAAATAAATAAAATCTTTAAAAAACTCAGAGCGCATTTGCAAAAGCAGCCAAGCTCCAGAGAATAACCATTATTATTTTTAGTAAAGTCTTTTGCTTCAGGATTTAAGCTCATCTGATGTGTTTGCTTGACAGCTGCTGCTGCACTGCCTGGGTCACTGCTGGACATTAAGAGGTTTGGGGCAGAGTGTGCACAGGAGAGGTTATTTCCTCTGCCGAGGCCCCTCCTGGCTTTCTAGACTAGAAACAACAGGCTTTTTATGATCATGAAAGGATGGTGCACTGGAGTCCTAATGAAATATTATCCAGAATCAGAGCCAATATCATGCTGCATTGTCATGCAGCTAATTATTAATGATAGTTGTCTACGTCTTATGAAAACAACCCTGAGGATAATGTGAATTCATATCAAAGGAGAAACATGCACTTTATCTTCTCTAATAATTCGCATGACTAAAACAAAGTAATCTAAAAACCAATCTTTTTCAAAAGCAAAACATAAATGTGAAAGAGGTGGATATTACAATCTATAACTTGAAATATTTCAACCTATATTCCAATTTTTTTAAATTAATTATAGGCGTTAGCAAAGTTGGATTTTTCCCATGCAACAACAACACGATTCTACTTCTACCCAGTTAGATTTGTAGAATGGAAGAACAACCAACCCACAGACATTTTAAAATGAAGTTAAAAATTAAATCGCAAAACCAAAGTCACATTTTCTGACTTGGATACTGATTCAGAGTTGCAATATTTCACATGATATTTGAATTCAGAAGTTGTTACTCATTTATTGCAGGGTCCAGAGTCCCTCAAAAATGACTCAGGGAAAAATCTTTTATACAGGAAGGTGAAAGTGACATCCCCTCCCCTGGCATAATGAACTTAGACCTCTGTGCTAAAATTCCCAAAGTGCAAGGGAAATATCCATTTTTCTTTTCTCTTCTTATCTTATAAACACTATTAAAAAACTTATCTGAAGGAAGTATGAGGATGACATATAATGAATGAATGCTTGGAAAACAGTAGCTGTAAATCCCCAAGACCTGGGGTTCCTCCCTCTGAATTCCTGAGCTCAGGGATGGACTCTGCCAGGCTCACACTCCCCCGCCCCCGCCCCAGGGTACTGGGAGATGGTTTACTTCCCCACAATACACTTCAAAAGGTATAAAATCAGAAGGAGATCTCCTCTGGGAGATCTAAGAAGGAACTTAAAATCAAGGTGATGAACAGGATCTGAAGTAAGGCAGGCTCCCAGAAGCGCAGAACTGGGTTTAATTTTCCATGGCTAGAGATGGACTCGAATGTTCTCACAGAGAAAGGTGTGCAGGCACTGAGCTCACAGGGAACAGGAAATGAACTATCTGCATAAAGCTGGAAACCTGAAAGCATTGCCTCATCCCTGAGATGAGGATAAGCAAAACTACCAACAAGTGTGAAAAGCAGTGAGGATGCTTTCAACCACATGGGAGTATAGATGTAAACGAGCCAAGCAAAAGAAATTGAAAGGACTTGGCTTCCACTCTGCCCATGTGGGTGTTCCGAATTCATGTTGCTTATTGTCCAAAATGAGTTCTAGAAAAATCCATACCGCATGACAACAGGTATACAAATTGAGAAACTAGAAAAAGCATTCTTTTATATAGTTTAGGAACACACCTATAGGTAGTAAAAATCAAAGAGTATGGAGAAATCTCACCAAATTTTTGTGAAATGTTTTTATTGTTGTGTCTGTGGGCGCATGCACACGTCCATGAGCACAAAAGAGGACCAAAGAAAGCAAGAATGAAATCCAAGTTTATCTGTGATATTATAATTCTTGTATTTCAAAGAAAAAAATCAACAGAATTTCAAAGGGAAAAAACATATGCAAAATAGAAAAAAAAGTATTAGACTTTTGTATTTTTTTAAGATTTTATTCATTTATTTATTCATGAGAGACACACAGAGAGAAAGAAGCAGAGACATAGACAGAGGGAGAAGCAGGCTCCCGGGGTCACGACCTGAGCCAGAGGCAGATGCTCAACCACTGAGCCACCCATGCATCCCTAAACTTTTGTATTTAATTATAATCTTTCTTTCTTTCTTTCTTTCTTTCTTTCTTTCTTTCTTTCTTTCTTTCTCTCTGCTTTTCAGAACAGAACTATAGTCATTAAAGATACCACAAAGCAAAGCAAAAACTGCATGTCTCAGGTTTTGAGGAGACACAAAATGCTCTCACACCAGCAGAGAAGTAGGCAGAGCCGCAGAAGGGCTTCAGATTCCAACTTCTCCAGGCACACATTTCTGAAAACTTCCTCAGAGGCTGCTTGACATGGAACCACTTTTCCTTCAACTTCTAATTTGATAAATTTGTTAATGATTAGCAGTCTCAGCCCCAGGGTAGCAAGGAGTCCTCAGCGGGTCTGCCAGCGAGGAAGGGCCAGAGGGCGAAGGAGGAGCGGGTACTAAGTTGAAGTCATCCAGCAGATACTAAGTCGGTAAGTCACTTGCCCTGGTGTTGATATGAAAACTCTCTAAAGGTCCTTTCTGTGTAACAAACTAACAATTTTATAAACTCCCAGATTCCCAGGCTTTCTCATATTGATTTTTGAAAAGGTGAGTGAAGATGTAACAACCCCTATTTCCTTAACAAGGCAAAAGAGAGGTATAAACTGGGACCTAAAGTTCTGTGTCTGATCGTCTGTAAACATGCTTAAAATGTTAACTGTGCAAGACACTTCCAAGAAACAGGCACTCTAGTGAGGTGTATAAGGGTTAATTTAGGGGCACCTGGATGGCTCAGTGGTTGAGTGTCTGCCTTTGGCTCAGGTCATGATCCTGGGGTTCTGGGATTGATTCTGCATAAGGTCCCAGTGAGGAACTTATTTCTCCCTCTACCTGTGTCTCTGATTCTCTCTGTGTGTCTCTCATGAATAAATAAATTAAATAAATTAAATAAATAAAAGCTGAATTTAGGGGATTACATTCAGGGGCTTGGAAACAAGTATCAGCCCTTCTATTTATCAACTGGCTGACCTGGATAAGGAGGTCAAAATCTCCATTTAGGGTGGATGTGAACTGTTAGGTACAGTAATTAGCAACAGCAGCTAGCATAACTCGTTATACCAATAGCCAGCGGGACACACTGGAAGAGCTGTAGGATGTGCAAAGATATATTTCAGATAAGAAAAAACGGGAAACCACATCTCCATCCCTTATGTGAAGATTCGCTGTCACCAAGACGTCTGTAGTGGGCCTTTCATCTGAGAGACTTACTGTGGCAACAGACAACTCCTGGTGTCCCAAAGGACTCTGAACTTTTGTAATCAAGTCTGTCCTCTTGATTTTCCTCCCACATCAAGTAGGTTCCAGGGTTTTGACACAGATAGGGCTGGGGGTGGTTCCGGTCCAAAATGGCATCTGGAGGAATGCTGAGTCATGAAGCAAGGAAATGAGGGAAAGCTAACCAAACCAAGATGAAAGGGGATAGAAGGAGAAATGTAGAGATGAGGTAATGAAGGTCACTAAGATCAACAGAAGATGGAGGATGGGCTGAAGGTAACTGAAAGGAGACAATCAGGGAGAGTTCGTAAGGCAGGAATATAGAAGTTGGAACCTTCTGATGGTACTTGTGACCTTACAGAGGGTATAAGTAGGATTTTGTTAGCAGGAAACCCATAGCCTTTAAACCTAATGGTCTGCAGGAAGCTGACCTTCAGTGTGATTCCCTATGAACACTGCTTCGAAGCAAAAACATCTCAGGATGCCATATATAGTCTCTGACCCAGGAAACCAGAAATCTTCTGGGTAGTAGTGAAAAATCAAGGCAGCTTAATGTTAAAAAGAATTGCATATAGGGGTGCCTGGGTGACTCAGTGGATTAAGTGTCTGCCTTCAGCTCAGGTCATGATCTCAGGGTCCTGGATGGATCCTCAAGTAGGGCTCAGCATGGAATCTGCTCCTCCCTCTGCTTCTCCCCTCCCCCCTTCTCACTGCATGTTCTCTCTCTCAAATAAAACCTTTTTAAAAATTGCATATATACATCTATATGTGTGTATATGTGTATACTGATATATACACATGTACATATATAAAACATTTACATACAACACACATATGACACATTGATATATATGTGGCACCTGTAAGTTGCTTCTTTTGTACAGCCCTAGGCCTTAGAGGTTAGCCAGGGTCCAACTGTGTTACCATTGCAACCCCACAGCTGGGGCATCCAGCCACAAAATCTTTTTGAGGTCACCAAGCCTTCCTGGAGTTCACATGCTTCATGGGCAGCCAAATGCTCTCAGAACTTTCCCTTATATGAATTCCTATTCACTGCCTCTGCATAACCATCTGCTTAGCTATGTGAGTAAATGCTTATAAAATCTCCTGGGAGAATGGTCATAGATAGGATCACATCTGCTGGGATTGGACTTTCAGGTTTCCAGGACAGGGCATGTCCTGGTTGTCTAGAATAGAGATAGTAGAAGGCTAAAAGTACCTGAGATTACTTTATCCAAGTTATTACTTAAGTTTTTGCTTCTATGAAAGCTGATATTTTGATCATATTGTTAATAAATACTGAGATTCTATTTCATGTTTATAAGTGTCGAAAGTAACTTGAAAATGGACTTCTATGGAATAGAGAGGGTTCACTGGGGCTGCCATCTTGGATAAATGGACTCAGATAGAGAGTTTGAGAACTCAGTCCTGCCATGATAGAAAGGTCCCAGAGGCATACCTTCAAGAATAGGCAAAATTGTGGTAAACCAGGAATATGGCATCCCATAGTATTTTCATTCAGTGGAACTTAGCATCAAACCCAGCTGATAAGAAATTGATCTCCATCTTAAGGCCTACTATTAGGTGGTCCCGGCATTAAGCAGAGAATAAAATAACCTTAATCTCTAGATCACTCCAGAATTACTCTACGCTTTTGCTTGTCTGTGAAATCATCATGTGCAAAGTTTGGCTAGATATGATGTTATGACAGACTTCAGTTCGTGAGACTCAAGGACACAATTCTTATGATGTCCCAGGAAACAGTGCAGAGTACAGTTGAAAGAAGCCACATAGAGAAGATTGCAGGACATTAAATCCAGGTAGTTTGAAGAACCCTGTCCAGGCAGGTAATGCCCTGATTGCTCATAAACCAAAAGGATGGGCAGTAAATTACACAGATCAGATAGCATCAGCCCTGGAAATGCCAACAAGCTACAGGTACCGGGAAGGATCTTTATCTCCTAGAATTGGTCTAGGAGCCATGGGTCAGTGGAATTGAATAACACTTGGAATTTAATTATGGTACTTGTGTAGGATGGAATCCCTCCTTATTGTTCTTGTCAGTGAGAACCACCACCTCTGTGGGAAGTTGGAGGACCTAATGAATCTCCCAATATACTCATCTTTGTAAAGGAGTTTGGTCTGAGTATCTTATGCTAGAATACAAAATAGGAATGAACATGAGCCTAGGCACCCGATTTCATATCTATTCTTTCTGTAGAGAAACTGGCCCTTTGCTTCCTAGGGTGGGTCAAGGAGTGGGAGGGACTCTTCCCTATTAATTGTGTCTCTGGAATATCTGAAATACGAGTGTCAAGTGATAGAAAACCCTCTAGGAAGATGTTTAAATGGCCAGATAAAAAATGTGGGTTCATCAATAAAAGACTGCACCAATACAGAGGCCCAAGGGGAAGATGTGTGATGCGTTTCCTTACCCTGATAGTATGCTGGTGAATATTTTACAACTGGCTTTCTTGGGGGGGGGGGCATGCACAAACACATACAGGTATATTATAAATTTTACTGATACATAGAATCTAAGGCACCCAGTTTATGAATAATAATAAGATATACAATACTGTTATTATAAATTCCATATAGTCAATTGATTCTCATAGGATATTGTGCTTCTTTCCAGGTCTATTGAGCTATAATTAGCAAATAGACATTTTACATATTTAAGATGTAAAACTTTCATGTACTTTTGCTACACTCTGTGTCTGTAGGCAGCCTATGGTTGAAATTCAACCACAACTTGACAAATTAAATTGAATCTTCATCTGCCAATTCTTCCCAATATATTTGTTGTCATTAAATGTCATAGATGATCTACTGTTGAATTATTTCTCTTTTATACAAACTATATTTATCAACCTGAAACCATTATCAATATCAGCACTCTGAATTACAATAGTCCAAAATTTTTAAATTATTTTTTACCTTTTTATAAAGTTGCAAGGGTTGATTCTACATTACTACCTACAAAATGCATAAATTGTTCAAATTAACTTCATGTTAATAAAATTCACAATGCCACTTGAAGGTTAACATAAAAATTTTGATACTAGTATCTTAATATGTCATTTTTAAAATAAAATTTTTTTTTAATTTTTTTATTTATTTACGATAGTCATACAGAGAGAGAGAGAGAGGCAGAGACACAGGCAGAGGGAGAAGCAGGCTCCATGGACCGGGAGCCCGACGCTAGACTCGATCCCGGGTCTCCAGGATCGCGCCCTGGGCCAAAGGCAGGCGCCAAACCGCTGCGCCACCCAGGGATCCCTAAAATAACATGTTTTAAGCTAAAATATTTACATTGTTTTCTAGTCACATCTAAAACTTCTGTATGGGGCAGCCCCGGTGGCCCAGTGGTTTAGTGCCGCCTTCAGCCCAGGGTGTGATCCTGTAGACCTGGGATTGAGTCCCACGCCGGGCACCCTGCCTGGAGCCTGCTTCTCCTTCTGCCTGTCTCTTTCTCTCTCTCTGTCATGAATGAATAAATAAAATCTTTAAAAAAAATAAAACTTCAGTATGATTTTCTATTTCTTGCAGAATTCAATCTGGATTTTTGCAATTCTATCATCAACCATAGGGCCACAATATCAGCAAGTAAATTTTTTATTAATAATTAGCTAAACAAAAACATCACTCACATCATTAATAGTGAGTCTAGTTCTAACATATTGTTTAATAAATTTCTTAAGTCCAGGAAATCAACAAATCAAGCTCAAATCTGTAGCTTTTGCCTTTAAAAAAATTTTTTAGTGTGAAATCTCCAATTGTGGCCAATTTCAAGCTACCAACATGACATCACTTAATTCAGAATTAGGAAGAAATATGCAGCTGCATGTTTTTTATAGTATTTATACTATATAGATGCAAGAATATGACTGATCCCAAGAGTATACCTGAGAAGAAAATGTAGTGAAATAATTATGGAGTCATGAGCTATAAACATTTCTTACCTTTTTAAAGTATTATTTATTTAATTCTGAATTTATTTAATTTAATTGCCAATAATGGCTGTTTTCAAAACAAGCTTGCAAAATTCCTAAAAATCTAAGTCTGCTTTTGCAGGCCCATGTGATCTAACTCCAGTACCCCACTGCCCTATGTTTACTCTCCTCTCTGAGGGAGCCATCTTGGGTTCCCTTGTTTTCTTACCTCAATTCAGGTTCTCCCCTGCCTTAGTCTATTTATACAAATTTTCCCTATATAAATTAACATTCCTGAGGATGCCTATTTGGTTGCCATATTTTTCTTTTTAGGACCTCCATATAAGGTGCTTCTACAAAAAGCCAACCACCCTCCCATTCAGAAATTATTGAATTTCTTGGTAAGAAATTATCAGATGCCACATGGCCCTCATCAGAGTCAAAGAAAGGGAAAACTAAGAACATGATCCAACATCAAAAACCAAGAGAACTCAGAGTCTTAAGCCTCCATTTGTGGCAGCTAAAATGGTATATATTCAAACATGTGGGTGTTATTTTTGCTCTCAGTCCCAATTGCTAAGGAATGACATTTTGATCATCCAGTTTTATCTCCATTTTTCCCTGCCAGATTATATATATGGTTTCACTTTTTTATGCTATAGGTCAGTTAAAACCAACTTCACAATCCCAACTACCTTTTCCCCCCTCTTTTAAAGATTTTATTTATTTATTTATTTATTTATTTATTTATTTATTTATTTATTTGAGAGAGTGAGCAAGAGAGAGCACAAGCAGGGGGAAAAGGCAGAAGGAGAGGGAGAAGCAGACACCCCACTGAGCAGGGAGCCCAATCTGGGGCTCAATCCCAGAACCCTGGGATCATGAACTGAGCCAAAGGCAGATGCTTAACTGACCAAGCCACCCAGGTGCCCCCCAACTACCTGTTAATTAAACTAGAGGATATTTATAACTTTAAACCAAACAGATCCTGTTTGGGACAGAAACACTGTTCATTTGAGGCAGTTTTGGGTCCAACATATAGGGACCCCAAACAACTACTGAGTCAAGATCTCCATGTTAGTTTTTTCCAAAACTTTGTAGACACTTCATCATCTGTGGCCAGAAAATATATGAGATTAAAATGGTATCATCATATTCTGCAAATATGATCCCCAAGTATTAGTGACATACATACAGCAACACTTAACAGTGGGTCAAAACGGGACACAGTATAGGAATCAGGGCCACTAGAAGCCAGGTTCTCAAGTGCAGTAGAGGACTCCAGAGGAGCATAGCTCTGAGGTGACCCACATCTCTGGTGGCTCCAACAACAATGACAGTAAACCATGTGCCAACCACTTGTTGAGTGCCAGGCACATGCAGTCTATTGAACTTTTGTTATCCTTGATGTGGGTTCTGCTGCTGTTGTGGTACTGGTTATTATTAATAACAGATAAGAAACTGAAACACACAAATTTGTACCTGGTGGCACTTGGCACATCAGGTAAATCATGAGCCTGGATTTGAACTTGGCAATGTCTAGCTCCAATGCCTAACTCTTAAACTGGCACATAGTGAGCATTATAGATCCTAATAATACACAGTTCCATACCTTAGGGGTGGTGCACCTGTTGTAGTAGGCCAAGAGGGAGTAATGATCCCCATTATACCTCACCCAGATGGAATGGCCTGGCTTTGGTTAGCTTGTTGCCCACTGTTTACATGTTTTAAAGGAATCTCTTTCCCTTGGCTGACACCTGTGGATTGCATATTGCCCTGATAGGTGGAAAACACCAGTGGGAAAGAACACAATGGCAGAGTTGAGTCCCACCACAGGGGAGAGTAACTACTCCCAAGATATTCAAGTGGATGAGAAGCTTGTTCCCAAGAAAGGTAAACTCAACTGTGACTGCTTGGTTTTAGCTTTTTATGGTGGGTTCTTTATGTGCAGTATCATAATATAAGAAATGAATTTACATCTTATAAGTTGTTTAATTCTTCTTAAAAATCAGGTAATCTTAATGTGTGTTTTTCAAATATATGAAGGAAATAAATACCATTGTTCTTAAAAACATGTCTTTTATTTTTGATAATTATCTTTTATCCATATGCATTTACATTTTTTTGACAATTGCTACCAAATTTGTATATGCCTAGTATTGTGTATTCCACTTGTCATTGCATGTAATATTTTAAATGTAATTGTATTGTTCAATTAGGTAAAGTAAGAAATTTTAATTTGACCACACATACGTTTCCATTTGCTTTATAATACTCAATCATTCTTCCAAAAAATGCATAGTATTGCTCTAATATATCCAATAGGTAAAGCATTGTTTACCTGAAAAATCTTCTTGTGGTTGGATATTTATGTTATAGACTCATAGGTCTTGCCCCCATTCAAGTAGAGGGGATTACACAAGTATGTGAACACCATGAGGTGGGCATCATTGGAGTCACCTTAACATCTATTTGTCACATCAAATTAAAAAACAAGTCTCCTGGACTCTGATTGATTAGAGTAGTATTGAATTATTTGATATAACCTTCCAGTTTCAAAAGTCCGTGATTTCATGGTGTCAATGCTCTCTTACAGTGGTTTAAACTATGCCTCCAAGATATTTATTAATTTGCACACATTCTCACACATACAAACTCACACATTCTCATGTAGCTAAGGGTATTCCTTGAAAATATTTTACAGCCAGCATGAGACTGGCACCAATCTATTAGGTGGACATGTCTGGAACTATTCATTCAAAACTGACACAAGATGGAAATAATCTTTAAGGACACATGTAGTAGCAAGGAATACTTAATACCCAGTGAGCATCAGGCTAAGCCTTTTAAATACATCCTCTAGTTAATCTTTCAGGAATCTAATAAGACAGATATTCAACTCTCTTGTTTGTGAGCCTTTAGGCTCCTGGTTTGTTTATACTACTTTTCACTAGACTTTGGTCTCTAGTCCCCCAGGGCAACTTGGAGAAATCAGAGACCATGAGAATTCATACATTATTAGTTGATTTGATTGAGATAGGAAGTCACCACTCAGCCCTGAATCAAGAGGGAAAGCCTTTACAAAATATTGTATTTGAGCTTCTCACTCTAATTTCAGCATGTTTTATAGTTTCTTCCAAATTCTGCTCCCCCATCCCATTACTACAAAGGCTTGTGTTCCACTTAAAGAAAAAACAGTATGGCCTTTGTTATCTCAAGGCACCTCTTTCCTTAAAGGTGCCTTTGAGGACTTCCTGAAGACACAGGGTGTTGACCTCCAATCCCACATCATATAGCCATATAAACCCCACAGATGGGTGTACTTGGGTTACAGCAAAGGTATTCTCATGGAGTCATCTAGGACAAAATAAAAGCTGTCATATACTTTCAGTACAATGGTCAAGAGCATAGATACCTGATCTACACTGTTTGTTGGTCTCTCTGTACCTATGTTCTTCTCACCTATAAAAAGGAGGATAGTAGTAGTAGCTTCCTCAAAGAATTGGTGTGAGAATTAAGTGAATTAAGTGAATTAATTCTCAGTCATTATGTTACATGAGCTATCAGGATCAGCTGACACACCTGCTGACTGCCTCCTCCCTGAAGCCCCTTTCCCCTTGGCTTCCAGGATACCACAGTCTCCTGGTTTTCTTCCAAACCCACCGACAATTCCTTTTCAGTTTCTTTCTTTCTCCCCACTTATTTGGCCTCTCTAAACATTAGAGAGTCAGAGTAAGTCTTTGGTTCTTCCCCCTCTGTGTTCTCTTTTCCCAAATATCATGGCTTCAAGTATCACATGTAGCTTACTAATTCCCAGTCTTATACCTCAACGTCTACATCTCTTCTAAACTCTAGAGTTGTGTATACAACAATGTTCTCAACACCTTCCCTTGGGTGCCTAAAAGGTATCTCTGTGGGTCCAATAATCTTGATCATCCCTACTTCCCCAAATCTGCTTTTGCCACAGAACTCCCTTCCTCAGTGAACCACTCTTCTAGTTCTTAGAACAAGAACCTCTCCAGGGCCCTTCCCCCACTGGTCTATAAAACTGAAACCTTGATTTAGTGTGGGATTCATCTGGGATCTGATTACATTTTCACTCTTCTACTGCTAGCACCCCCAACCAATATTCCTCACTTGTCTTCTGCATTATTGCAGTAGCTTCTTTCCAGCAGTAGCCAGCTTTTCTAGAAATACAAAACTAGATTTGAATGCTATGCTCATTTCTTTTTCCACTCTTTTTGCTATATTTTTTCATAGTTTGTGGTTGTCAGTTTCTCTGAGAAACTCTTCCTAAGGGTTTAATTTCAAACTTTATTTTTTTTTGGAAAGAGAAAGAGCACATGAGTGGGGTAAGACGGACAGAGGAGAGAGAGAATTTTTCTTTTTAAAGATTTACTTATGGGAACCCCGGCTGGCTCAGCAGCTTAGCACCACCTTCAGCCCAGGGAGTGATCCTGGAAACCCGGGATGGAGTCCCACGTCAGGCTCCCTGCATGGAGTCTGCTTCTCCCTCTGCCTGTGTCTCTGCCTCTCTCTCTCTCCTCTGTGTTTCTCATGAATAAATAAATAAAATCTTAAAAAAATAAAGAGTTACTTATTTATTGAAAGAGAGAGCACAGGGAAGGGAAGGGCAGAGGGAGAGGCAGAGAGAATTTCAAGCAGATTCCCCACTGAGTGCAGAGCCCAACATGGGGCTCAAGCCTACAACCCTGAGATCATGACCTGAGCCAAGATCAAGAGTTGGATAGTTAACTGACTGAGCCACCCAAGCACCCTTAATTTTAAACTTTAAATGAAAGCTTGTCCTCAATGCCTTAAGACATGAGAGAAGAATAATCATTTACGTTAAGGAAAAATTCCTTCAGAGTTTAAAAAATTACATTTTATGTATATAATTAATAACATAGTACAAATAAATTACATAAATAAATTAATTAAGCTCCATAATTTAAATATGTACATATACATATTTTTATCTATATGTATATAAAATGTAACTTCTACTGTATATATATTTACCTCTGAATAATTTCATCAACTACAGAATACAATAAGGAATGGGAGAGACAGAATTATAGGAAAGACAGATGCCTCAGAACAAGTCAGTGTCTATCTAGCTGTGGTATAAAAACACCTTTGGTTCAACTCAGTGATTTCCTCCTTTTGTATCTTCCTTTCCTAAAGCCAGTAGAGTGCCATTTAAACCATCAGGTGATGGTCTATGGTACCCTTCCATATTAAAACTTGTGAGAAATAAACAATGGCTTAATAAAGAGAGCACTAATGTCATGTTATATTTCCAGGTCTAAGCTTATGTTCCACTCGCTATGGGATAGCCCTCATCATACATGTCTGCAACTTCATAACAGCGGCACAGAATACTGTCATAAACATCACCATGGTAGCCATGGTCAACACCACAGACCATCAGTTCCAGTTTAATGGCTCCACTGAGCGGCTGCCTGGTGGCCCAAATAATGCCCCAGACAGTCTTCCTGCAGAGGTAGCAATGCAAGATTTAAGCTGTGCTCTTGTTTTTGCTGTTTGTTTGTCTGAATGTTTATTTTTTTATAGCTTATATGTTAAAAAGTTTTATTTGGGAAAATAGTGATTGAAAGCAAGTGAAAGATTTAAAGATGTGTTTTCAGTTATGTGAACACCTTTCTGCAAGTGGCTGACTGCAGCATTCTCTGTTTCCTCAAGGCTCCTACGTATGACTGGAGTCCTCAAATCCAGGGCATCATCTTTGCTTCTGCTGCCTATGGCATGACTTTGACAATGGCTCTTAGTGGATACCTGGCTGGAAGAGTAGGAACAAAGCGAGTGGTTGGTGTTTCTTTGTTTGCATCCTCACTCCTCATTATCTTCAGCCCTCTGGCAGCTGAGCTTGGACTAATTTCCCTCATAGCAACTCGAATGGTCCAGGGGCTAGTCCAGGTATCCAGATATTTTATAAATATGAGCTGGATAGGAATTTCTAAATGGCACCACACACACACATCAAGAGCTCTAACTATTTTGATTTCAGGGGTCAATATTTGGGGGTCAGAATGCGCTTTGGGAGAGATGGGGTCCTCCACATGAACGAAGCCGACTCTGCACCATTGCTTTATCAGGTAAAAACACATAACTGAAATGAGTACGCTGCAACGCAACATTCTCACCCTGGATTATTTGACAGTTTTTCTGTTGAATGCTTCGTTGTCTTCTCTTTAGTGTTGACTAAGTATTTATAAATTAGGGAAATGGATCCTTTGAGGCATTATTTTCAGTTGTTTCTCCCCAGTGTCAGTTGTAATATGACTTTGATTATAATGATTTTTCCTATTCTTAAAAGTATATATTTTTGTGTAGTTAAATTGATCATTCTTTTCTTTTTTGGCTTCTAGATTTTGAATCACAGTTGGAAAGGTTATGAAGGCAGCCACCTATGTTTTTTTTCTGGAACTTGAATAATTTCATTTTTTATAGTTAAATTTCTTATATTTTGGAGTTCTATTTTAGTATTCTATGTATAAGGTATGGATCCAACTTAATCTTTTTCGGAATTGTTTTCAGTTGTTCTGAGAACTGATTTTTTAAATTTTTTATTTATTTATGATAGTCACAGAGAGAGAGAGAGAGAGAGAGGCAGAGACACAGGCAGAGGGAGAAGCAGGCTCCATGCACCGGGAGCCCCACGTGGGATTCGATCCCGGGTCTCCAGGATCGCGCCCTGGGCCAAAGGCAGGCGCCAAACCGCTGTGTCACCCAGGGATCCCTGAGAACTGATTTTTGATCATGATTTCCCTAGACAGTGTATCTGGAATGAACATTCTAAAGAAAGAAGTCTACATTATATTGGGGAAGAATGAAAAACAGAAAGAATAGGGCTAATAAACACAAAACTGATAAAGTAGGTACTGGTAAGAAAAGTGTAACTCTTCAGCTACTTTATGGATACCAAGAGAGCCTGACACTCTTCAAGCCCAGAAAACAAGGCATGAGTGCATGCATGTGCACACACACACACACACACACACACACACACACACCCTGACTGACCTCATACCCCTGTAGAGCCCTTTCCAACCCTGGAGGATTATTTTCTGTCATCAGAGCTTATATTCACTGATAGGGGACTAGTCCACCAATTTGAATAAAAGAAACTCGTATCACTTATCACAGTTGACTAATGGAGCTTCTAAGTATAAATAAGGACTAACATCCCCTCTCAAATCCTCAAACATTTGAAAGAAAGCAAGAGTACAAAAGAGAGAGACCAAACTAAAAACAACAAGAATGAATCCAAATGAAGAAGAAATTAAAAGAAAAGTTTACATGATTAACAAATAACATGGGAGAGATCCAAGGTAATATGTATAATAACATTTATTTAAAAAGAAAAAGCTGTCAGAATGGCTAGTTTCAAAAAGACAAGAAATAATAAGTGTTGGTGAGGATGGAAAGAGAATCCTTGTGCCCCATTATGGGGAATGTAAATTGGTGTAGCAACCATGCAAAACAGGATAGAGTTTCCTCAAAAAAATTAAAAATAGAAGTGCCATATAGTCCAATAATTCCGTTTCTGGGTATTTATCTGAGGAAAACAAAAACACTCATACAAAAAATATTTGCATTCATATATTTGCTGTAGCGATCTTTACAATGGCAAAAGATATGGAAGCAACCCAAGTGTCCATCGATAGATGGATGGCAAAAGAAGATGTGTATACATCATGAAATATTGTTTGGTTATAAAAAAGAATGAAATTGTTGTTGCCAATTGCAACAACATGGATGGACCTAGAGTGTATTATGCTAAGTGAAATATGTCAGACAGAGAAAGACAATTACCTATGATTTCATTTACATGTGGAATCTAAGAAACCAACCAACCAAACAGCCAAATAACAATAACAACAGGAAAGAGAGACAGACTCATAAATACAGAGAACAAACTAGTGGTTGCCAGAGGTGGAGTGAGAGGGTGGGAAGGACAGGTCAAACAGGTGAAGGAGATTAAGAGATACAAACTTCAGTTATAAAATAAATAATCATGGGAATGAAAAGAACAGCGTAGGGAATATATCAAAATATATTGTAATAATTTTGTATGATGATAGATAGCTACTATATTTACTGTAGTATTTTGCAATGTGCATAATTGTCAAATCACTATCTTGTACACCTGAAACTAATATATGTCAACTATACTTCAATTAAAGATGTAAAAAAAAGTAATTTAGAAAACAGATTGCTATAAATATAGTTGCTAAAAAATACAATTGCTAATATAGTTAACTGCAATGAATGGTCTGAACACCTAAATGAAGGGAAATGACTATCAAATTAGCAAGGTAGACAAATAAGTTAAGAGATTATCCCAGAATACAATATAAGAATCAGGAGATGGAAAGCAAGTTTAAAAATCTTGGAAGAAAGATAGTGACTTTATAGAAGTGGCAACTCCCTTCCCTCTCATTTCCTGTCAAATAGGCATAGAGCTACTGGAATAGGTAAACTGACTATCGAGGAGACTTAGGAATCTACAAGTCTGCAAATTCCAGAGGCTTCCTTATTTTTGGTGTTAGGGGAATATCTTAGTGTCCCCAAGCAGGTAGTCTCTACTGGCCTCTAGAAACCTTTTCTGGTTCAGAGAACACAAAGCCAATGGCTGTCTGAGGGGCCAAGAGGAAGCCACTGGCAGGTGGAGTCAGCTAAGGCTACCCACCTGCCTCTGTAGTTCTTATAGAAATGGTCACTTCTAGGGATCCGGGGATTCTCACTCAGCAGGCTACACTGGTGAACAGGATGACTCATTCAGCCTATGAGATGGAAAGAAGACTTCTTAGAAGGACATTTAACAGTGGAAGGGCCCAGGTACTGCCAGCCTCTGGGACAAAACATATTCAATCTTCCTCTCCGGGGTACCACAAAGGCACGTCTATAGGCAAGAAACTTTGTAGCCACTTAAGGCAGGCAAACTAAGCAGATAAAACAGAACTGGCAGCTCATAATTGAGGTGATAGAAACACACACACACGCACACAGTCTGAAGATGATGCAACAACACACACAAGTGAAAATGAAAAAAAAAAAACCACCTGCAATTACATACAGCAACATGGCTAAGTGTTAGAAACACAAATGTTGAATGAACAAAATACTTCTGTCATGGTGGAGAATCACCTTGATGCAATGTTAGCCCCAAGTACACTACCTGGCAAGCTATCACAGTGGTCATGGAACAGATAGGCTCACAGGCTAAATTAGGTACTCTCATTGTACAATTAAAATACTTTAAAACACAGAGATGTAAGATGGAAAATAGGGTAAATTAACACATTTAAGATACACATTGCAATGTCCTAAAGATAATATCCAGGATGATATCACTTTAATAAAGGTCAGAAAGTAAAAACACAGACTTTAGGTATACACTTACATACATGGTACAAATTGCATTGACAAAGAGAACAATTGCAGTGACATATTTGAGCATTAATTTACAATATGTATAAATGAACCATTAGCTATGAACTTGAGTGGAGATCAAATTATAGTCTGCAATTCAGTAGAAATAGGACAGTAACAAGACATACCAAATTTCTCGGGATACAGATTGTATTCGAAGCCCTTGGTTGAGTGTGACCGCTCAGAAAAGAAACCCAAGGAAAGAGCTCCATGACCCTCCAATATCTGGGCCTCAGACAGAGAAGGAGAGGCAGAAGGGACTGGGAAGCCTCCCAGGGAGTGCTTGGACAAAAATCTGAGGTGATGGCTCAACAGAGCCACCTGCTGCTGGCCTGGAGAAAATCACTATGGATCTGGCAAGTGGGAAGTCTTTAAAGGCCTGACAAGAATGTAAGGGCAGGAAATGGAGGCAGTAAGCATAAAGTTTGGAGAAGTTTTCTTCTACACTGAAAAGGAACAGAAAAAAATGTCAAAGTATATGGAGGGAGCTCTGAAGAGGTGGAAAGTTTTATTTTGTTTTGAGCCCAGGCTGTACGAAGAAAAGTTTGTGCATGGATGGGTGAGATCAAGGAGCTGAGGAATTTAGTGAAGATATAGATGTGAGGGCACATCCTCACAGTGGCCTGGGCCTGGGCCAGACTGGAGGAAACATGGTCTTGGAAGGATGCAGGAACCTGTCCCCTACTGTAACAGGATTAAAGGCAGAGAGTTCAGGGGGAATATGAAGGTTTGGTGGACTTTGTGGTGGAAAAGGTACTGATTTCCATCTTCACCTACTGTGCTCCAAAGTCAGGCAGCCTGTTTTCAAATGCTGCCTTTCTTTGTTCACAGAAGAAATAACAATTATAAACATAGGAAAAGACACTCGACTTCATCATAAATAGAAAATAATAAGATAACTGTTTGCATGCATATTTGGAAGACTTTTTAGAAACTCTGAGGATATCCAAGGGTCTCAAGGAGATCAGAAGAAAAAAAAAACAATTATTTTTGGCAATTTGGTTTGGTATAGCCTTTTAACAAGATACTTCAACAGTATCTATCAAAATTAAAAATGCACATAGTGTTTGATCTAGCATATCCACTGCTGATATTCTATTATACCAAAATAAATTATGCTTATGTTCAGAAATGATGATTAAATCTATGTTCAGAAATAACAACAGCCCCATTTTGAAAAAGCTGTAAAAAGGAAGTGTACCCTACTATGTATGAGAATACTCTGTGAAGCCAGAGAAATTAAAACAGTGTTATTAGCACCCTCACAGACAAATCTAGCTGTCTGCCTGTTGCATAATGCCTTTACAAAGAGGTAAGTGTGCATGTAGATGTGTATTATAAATGAGAGGAAAGGCATTGGAAATGGGTTGGGGGACAAATGAAGGGAACTTTGGTTCTTTGTGGCAATTTATTCTTATAATAAGCATACATCACATGACTTGTGTAGTTAAAAATTAAAGTAGCATGAAAGGAAGAAGCATGGCTGTCATCTGCAATGTTATTAGGGAACTGCCAGAAAAATGAATTCTCAGGAGAACATGGGAAGTGATACATCTGAAGTTCACGTGTTCCAATATGCCTGTCTCGTTGTGGCTGCTGATGCTGCATGTCATCTGTCATTCTGTCAGTGTCTCTCCAGTGGTGGTCCAGAGCCCTACAGCTTACTCTCTGTCTGCAGGAATGCTGTTGGGAACCTTCACCATCATCCTCGTGGGTGGCCTCATCAGTCAAACCCTTGGGTGGCCTTTTGCTTTCTATATCTTTGGTAAGCAACTACCTCCTCATCCCAGGGGTTTCTTCCCAGTGTCAGTCTCCTCTATTAACCCATCATAAGCATTATTAGCACAATGTGGTTGGGCGTGCTCTGCCTCCCCTGCAGGCTGCAGGTGACAGGCTTGCAGAGTGGTGGGTCCTGAGAAAGAAAGACATGCAGCCGCTGCTGTGGGCTGTGTCTCAGGGTAAGTGCATCCATGCTGGGGTCCCGGGTCAGATGCCAGCTTCCTAAGGAGAGAAAACACTAAACACCAACTGGATGAAGACCGTGAGGAACAATGACCTGTGAGAGGTAAGGTCTAAGGCAGGGCACAGGAAAAGAGAACTCTGCAGAAAAAGAATAGAGGAGACAAAGTTCAAAGCCCAGAGAGCATGAGACAGGAAAGAGCACCCACGGGAGACTACTGTGCAGAGGAAACTCAGTTATCCGCAGGGTCCCTCCTTGATCTGCAACAGCACACTTATCAGGGCATCATCTGAGCCCAGAAGGGGGAAAATATCACGGGTATAAATTAAAGAACAGTATCCAGTACTTACAGAGAATCAGAGATTGTACCTGTTGCCACAAGACAACTGAAAACACTTATAGTTCACTACCATCAACTTTCCTTGGTAGTGAGAGATAATTAGCTCCAGAGGAAGCTCTGGTCCCTCTGACAACATGAGGGCACAAGACCTAAAAGATAAAACTGTTTCTATGTAATTTAACTGGAGCCCAGATAAAAGCTTGAAAATATGTATAGGAAGACAAAAATATTCAGCACCCAACTAAATATAATTCACAAGATTGTTCCAATCATAGATTACCAGGCATGGGGGGAGGCAGGGAAACAGGCAAACAGAATCAGACTCAGAATCAGAATCAAATCAGAATCAGAATCAGAAGAAATAATCAATGAAAACCAACCTGGAATTAACACAAATGTTAGAATAGCAGACAAGGGCATTAAAATAGACAGTTATTCTAACTGTGTTATAGCATAAGTCAATTTGTTTGGAAGATAAGTGGAGACATGGAAAATCTTTTTTTAAAAGACCTAAATCAAACTTTTAGAGATGAAAACTGCAATATATGGATGGAGTTAAAGACAGATTAGACACACCATGAGAAAAGATTAGGAACCTAAAAAGAGCAGCATAAATCAGCCAGAATGGATCACCCTTGGAAAAAACAATAATAGTGGATGAGAAACAGGACGGAGCAGCGTGCTCAGAGAAGAGGAGTGGTATGAGGGAACAGAAAAAGTCTTTTAGAAAATCATGGGGAAAGAGGAAAACTATAAACTCACAGACCCAAGAAGGTCTCTTGGCCTCAAGCATGGGAAACATGAAGAAAATGACACCAAGTTACATGGTAATCAGATGGCTCAAAGCCAGTGCTAAAGAGAACATATTAAAAGCAGCCAGAGCTAAAAACTACATGACACACAGAGAACAGAGGCAATAAAGGAGTGCAGCCTTCTCCTAGGAAGCAACGCAAGTAGGAAGGCAGTGGAACATCTTTCAAGTCCTGAGAGGGGGGGGGTGGGGAAGAGGGATCTGTCAACATAGAACTCTGGAGCCAGACCAAAAAAAATTCAAAGACAGAGGCAAAAAAAAAGACATTTTTAGACATACCAAAGTTGAAAGAATCAGACATATTTATTTGTTTTTAAAAGATTTTATTTTTTATTTGTTAGAGATCACAAGCCAGGGAAAGGGGGAGGGGCAGCACAAAAGGGAGAAGTAGATTTCCTCCTGAGCAGGGAGCCCTACACCTGGCCTGATCCCAGAACCCTAAGATCATGATGTGAGCCAAAAGCAGACACTTCATGGACTGAGCCACCTAGGCACCCCAGAATCAGACATGTAAATTAAAGATAGCAGTTCCATTTTCAGTAGCATCAATACATATGTAACATAGGGATAAATAGGACAAAAGATGTGAAAGACCTATACACTGAAACCTAATTCTCATGAAAAAAAAAATCTAGAATAGCCAAACTATTTTGCAAATGCCTTACAGAATTGGAGGACTGACTAAAAGTGCCTGAAGCCAAGATATATGATATGTCACCAAGACAGGGTAGTATTGGCATAGAGATAGGAAGTAGATCACTGTAGCAGAATATAGCCCTAAATAGACTCACTCAGGGAAGGTGGACTAATTTTCCACACAGATGCAATGGAAATTTAATGGAGAAAAGATACATTTTTTAACAGATGGTGCTCAAAAATTGAATATTCATATGTCCCCCACCCCCAAAATAAACCACACACAAAATGACCTTTGGTCCATTTTCTTGTATCCTATACAAAAATGAACTCAGGGGCACCTGGGTGTCACAGCGTTAGGTGGGAGACTCTTGGTTTCTGCTCAATTGGTGATTTGAGAGTCATGAGATCCGCAGGCTTGGACTCCGGCCTCAGCAGGAAGTCCACTTCAGTGAGTTTCTGTCTGGCTCTCTCTCCCTCTGCCCCTCCCCTCACTGACATGTGCACATGTGCAGGTCTGTTCACATGCTCTCTCTCAAATAAATCCATAAATCTTTATATATTTTTAAAGATTTTATTTATTCATGAGAGACTCAGAGAGAGGGGCAGAGACACATGCAGAGGGAGTAGCAGAGTCCCGGATGGGACTCAATTCCAGGATCCTGGGATCACGACCTGAGCTGAAGAAAGACGCTCAACCACTGAGCCACCCAGGTGCCCAAATCAATAAATCTTAAAAATAAATAAAGGAAAAAAGCTCAAAATAAATCCTGTACCTAATTTTAAAATCTAAAGTTGGTATCCTTCTAGAAGAAAACCTGAGAAAATCTTCGTAAGTTAGGCAAAGATTTCTTAGATAGGACACCAAAGGCTTGATCCATAAAATTACGGACTGATAGGCTGGATTTCATCGAAGTGAAAACTGCCTTTATGAGCCATTATTAGGATAATAAAGACAGGGTGAAAACACTTGCAAAATACATATACAATTAGGACTTTTATCCTGAATGAGTAAATAATTTCAAAGCTTAATCATAAGAAAACAACAAAAAATGATTTAAAAAAGGACAAAGAAATTTTGCCAAAGAAGATCTAGAGAGGGAAAATAAACACAGGGAAAAGTGCTCAACGTCCTTAGTCCTTAGGGAAATGCAAGTGAAAACAAACAAGATACCTCTGTATACCTCTTAACAATGACTAAATGGGACACAATAAGAAATGTATATGTGGTCTCTGCCCCCAGTTTCTGACACAGAGCTTCTAAAACCCTTGCAATTTCCTGAGTGATACAAGCATCTTCTGTCCTAATGAGGCAACACTTGGTGCCCCCTAGAGAGCTTCAAGATGAGGGCTAGTCACCAGAAAAAATAAATCTTGCTTAGAAGCTTGGAACCTAACCTCTAGGCCCATCCTCCATCCTCCAGGAAGGAAGGAGGCTGCAGAATGAGTTAATACTCGATTATGCCTACCTTTTGTAGCCTCTATAAAGATCCTTAAACTTTAGGGTTCTGAGACCTTTCAGATTGGTGAACATATCCATGTGCTGGGAGGGTGACTCATCCCAACTCCATAGGGAATGACCCTCCCTCTTTTGCTCAGAACCCTTTCAGGCCATGCTCTGTGTTTCTCTCTTCATCTGGCTATTCATCTCTCTCCTGTATAATAGCCTTTGTAACAAACTGGTAAACATAAGTAAATGTTTCTCTGACTTTTGTGAGCTGTTCCAAGAAATTATCAAAACTGAGAGTGGACTGTAGGAACCTCCAACTCTGTAGTCAAGTCAGAGTGTGGGTAATCTGGGGACCCAATTCTTATGACTAACACCTGAAGTGTGGAACAGTCTTGTAAGATAAGCCCTTACCTTATGAGGTCTGTACTAATTACCAGTAGTTAGTGTCAAAATTGAGCCAAGCTGGGGTATCCCTGGGTGGCTCAGCGGTTTAGTGCCTGCCTTTAGCCCAGGGTGCGATCCTGCAGTCCTGGGATCGAGTCCCAAGCCGGGCTCCCGGCATGGAGCCTGTTTCTCCCTCCTCCTGTGTCTCTGCCCCTCTCTATGTCTATCATAAATAAATAAATAAATCTTTAAAAAAAATTTGAGCCGATCTGGTGTCCACAGAGAATTGGAGAATTTCTTCTTTTTTTTTTTTTGAATTGGAGAATTTCTTAGTGTGAAAAACCCACATATTTGGTATCAACAGTGTTGAAAAAATAGTTTTCCTTTGATAATATTAAAAAGATTGAAATACATCACTAGGGTCTGTGCTTTCCATAAACACAAATAATTAAGAAATGTTTAAAAAAAAAGAGGGTTCTAGAAAACTGTTATGTTCCTGCTAATTTGGGGGGGGGGGATGGGAAGGGGATGTTATGAGCATGGGCTTTGCCCAGGACCTGTACTCAAAAATGTCCCAATACAAAAGAAAAGCAGAAACCAGCTCAGTTACCAATTTTATCCTCTGCTTGCAGGAGGCATTGGCTGTGTCTACTGCCCTTTCTGGTTTATTCTGATTTATGATGACCCTGTCTCTCATCCATGGATAAACGTCACAGAAAAAGAATATATCATATCCTCCTTGGCCCAACAGATACACGTAAGGACTCCAACCATCTCCAGAGATCTTGTGGCAGCCTCGGGATTTCTCGGGGTCACATGAACATGAGCATGTTTCGGATCTTACTGTTCTAATCAGTACATTTGTTTTCAGGTCAGCTCTCAAAAGCAGCCTCTTCCCATCAAGGCCATGCTCAAGTCTCTACCCCTTTGGTCCATCTGTGTCTGCTCTTTCGGCCATCAGTGGCTAGTTGCCATACTGATTACATACACACCAACTTATATCAGCTCTGTGTTCAGTGTTAACATCAGAGATGTGAGTGCCTTTCCTTCTGTGCCATTCTCCAGTATGCACCACCCACCAATCACTTTGTCTTCATGAACCATTCCTTTCAGAAAAGTTTATCCTTTATACTTACCACAAAACAATCTAATATTTAACACTAATGCCAGTAGCTTTTTCTAAGGATATGACTGAAGAGGCTACTGACTTTCTTAAAAGAGTAAGATTTCAGGGTTTTCAGTATGATGATCAGTGGTTTAACAACAAGAGGTATGGGCTCATTGCCCCTATTATAATGGTTTACTCAATTTTTTTCCCCTCAGAATGGGCTCCTGTCTGCCCTTCCTTTTATCATTGCCTGGGTCATTGGTATCCTGGGAGGCTACCTGGCAGATTTCCTCCTGACCAAGAATGTTAGGCTCGTTACTGTGAGGAAAATTGCCACATTTCTAGGTAAGAACAGGGCTTGAAGATCAGATGATTCACAAAGCATACAACAGCCAAAGGTGTATCTCACGGTTGAATTTGTCTGTTCCTCATTCCCTAGGAAATTTCCCATCTTCGGCGCTGCTTGTGGCTCTGCCTTACCTTCCCCCTAGTTACATCACGACAATGACCCTCCTAACACTCTCCTGTGGACTAAGCTCCTTATGTCAGTCAGGGATCTATATCAATGCCTTAGATCTTGCTCCAAGGTAGGATGGTAATTTCCACTCTTATATACACCTGAAAAAGGTTTAGCCTGAAGTTTTCTGGGAGCCCCAAACTTTGGGAAATAATAAACCATAGATGGTCCTGTGGCCATTTTTTCAGGTATACGAGGGGAGGGGTATTATGGATTTGTCTTAGTGCCTCTTATTAAACATACACAGTGCAAATCCTTTTTGATGTAATTAGAAGAGCAAGGCTGAAGGAAACTGTGAAGCATCTCTGGATCTAGCCTGGAACATTCCTGTCACCCACAGATATTCCAGTTTTCTCATGGGAACCACAAGGGGATTAGCAAACATAGCAGCTCTCCTGGCACCCACTGTCAGTGGGTTTCTCCTCAATCAGGTAGAATTTTCTTGTCACGGACTCTTAAAATGCTCTGCCAAATCCATTTATAAAGGTAGTACCTAAAGATTGTATTTGCATCTTAGAAAATACGATTAAATTGTGGGTTAACTTTGTCATGAAGATCGACCTAGCAAAGAAAAATATAGAACAATTTCTTTCATGACCTCAGTCTTGACTCATTTTGAAGCCAGGGACCCAATGCTCTACTGGTAATATTCAGTCTTTGAAACTGAAGTCATACAGCCATACAGATGATGATTCCATGCATAGATGCAACTTGTCATGTCTTCTGCAACATTTTGAAATTTTCATTTGCACAACCATCCCAAAGCAAAGAGATAATAAAAGCAGATGTGCTGAAGTATGTGACATATACAGGCATGAGTATAAGTATATTGTATGCAGTGATCTCATTTAATTACTGATTCTCACACCACTTATGAGAATGGTATATTATTACCCTGACTTCCTGATGATTAAACTGAAAATCTGATAGAATAAGTCTCTCCACTAAGAGGATGTAGAATCAGAATTCTTCCTTTTTAGTCCTCTCTCCAAAGCCTGCAATGTTGCCACCATGCCGTTGCAATGCAAGAATAAAACACTCATAGCATATTTTGTGTCATGATGATTTGCACAAAAGAGGAAATGTATGACACTCCGGTAAACAGTGACCAATGCAGTTCTGTAGGTTAATTGTAGTGGTCCCATTTATTAAGAATATTATAAATGCACTTAGAAATTTATTAAGAATATTTATTAAGAACACTCTAAATGCACTTTGAAATTATTATTTTGTCAACTTGTGCATGGAAACCCACTAGCAAATATGGTCTTCTAAACTATTAATATGATGTCATAGAGAAAATGATGATGAAAGAGGTAATATTTACTTGAGGTTTTGTGTCCTCAGGACTCTGAATTTGGGTGGCGAAATGTCTTCTTGTTGTTGTTTGCCGTTAACCTCTCAGGATTGATCTTCTACCTTATATGTGGAGATGCAGTTGTCCAAGACTGGGCAAAAGGGAGGAAACTCACTCGTTTATGAAGGTAAAGGATAGTGATTTCATCTATGGATTTAAAAAGGGAAGCACTATTGAAATTTTTAATTCCACATCACTTTTCTTCCTTAGTTACTCTATCTTGATATGATGGAAAGTCACCGGACATCTTTCTTCACAAATGAGAAGCCTATGGTGATGAACACACCCAAAGAATTTCATTTGCTGCAGTTCTTTTCAAATCTGAGATCAGTTCTTTATGTTACTAAGATTTCTTTTTGAGGAAAATATAAGACGAATAAAAATTCAAATAAAGTGATAGCCAAGAACAAAATTGTCATCTTCATAGAATCACCAGTGGAATCGGAGGAATGGCTATATCAGAGTCAATAGGCCAGACTCACAGTTTCTGGATCTCAAAACAGGAAACAATGTTTGGGAAGCTCTTAATCCAGGGCAGTAACCTCACTACGATGATCATGTTTCCTATTTTAAAAGTGAATATTGATTTCTATTTGTTGGATGGATATTGTCCATATGCCCTTCCCTTTCTGTGTTCCACTCTTCATCCTGCTTAGGCCCCAGCAGGCTGACCTGCATGGTTTGCCTCCACACTGCCTTGTCCAGTGGCCTCTGCTGGATTTTCAATGAAGGCCAAAGAGTGAGGACAGGGAATATCTATCTCTAAGGTCCTTCCCTGTGGGATCTGTAGGTGGTTGATTCTTCCCCTACAATTCACAGTTACCAATCCCTCCACACATTCTGGTCACTTCTCTCTTTACTTGTGCCCTCAGGCCTTTTTTTGTCTTTGCCACATTCCCAGTCCTGTGTAAATTGTCTCTTTTAACACTGTCTTCAAAATACCTATTGTAAATCTGCCAAACTTTCCTTCTGGGATCCAACTACTTCAGTGGTTTAATCCTGTATAAAGCTCAAAACATAAAAAGGATTGGTATTTTTGTCAAATGGTAATGTATGGGTTTCATTAGGTTCTGACCTAATGCACATGCAGGGAGGCAGGGCTATTTTCTTAATTGGTTCTCTTGGTGATCCTTACCACATAGACAGTAGAGATATCACGTCATTTCATGTAGAGGTGATGTGATGGGCACAGTTCTGAGTGGAAAACCAGGGCAAGCAGACACAGGCCAAATCTGAATAAACTAAAAACCAATTACTGAGGTCTTGTTCTTGTCTAGAAACTAAGCTACTGGGACACAAAAGCAAGCTAGACATAGTCACTATTCCCCAGTCTGATGTGGAGGACAGACAGAATGGCTGCCACAGCACTGTCTTAAGCACAATAGTAGGGGACATACAGGCCATTAGGGGAGATGACACAAGCAGTTCTGATCCCAAGTGGAAGAGCATGGGGTGAGGGTGGGGAGATCTCATTCCACAAGGAACTCTTGAGCTAAATGGGCAGTTTTATGGTATGATTGCCCACACTGGAGCCCAACGCGTACAAAAGCAAGAAACAGGATAGGTTCTGAAAGGAATTACCTGCCTGCATGGTCAGTTAGGAAAGAACAGAAGATGAGGTTAGGGAGGTGGGTATGACCAGTGCACAAAGGTTGTGTTTGCCACATTAAGGAGCTTGAGGAGTACCCTACAAGTAATAGTGGCATGGAGAGAAGAGACACATGAATAATGCTTAGGAGGGAAAGTTGAAAGGTCATGGCATTTGGCTAGATGGATGCTGGAGAAGAAAGGAGTTAGGGAGTCTGGATCTCTAACCTGAGACACTACACAGAGAGTGTCTGAACAACTAAGCTGGAGAATGCAGGAAAGGAGTTCTTTTTAAAGGGAAGATAATGAGTTGACTTGGGGCCATGTTATGTTAATGCTAATAATGAGATAATCAAATGTATGCATATGTATTAGTTTCCTGGGATGGCCATAACAAAGCGCTACAAATTAGATGGCTTAAAAGCAGTAATTTATTGTCTCACAATTATAGAAGTTTGAACATGTCATCAGAATTGGTTCCTTCTGAGTGTTGAGGGAGAATAGGTCCTATGCCTCTCTTTTGGAAGCCTCAGGAATTCCTTAGCCTATAGATATCTTTCCCCCTGTGTCTTCATATCATCTTCCCTCTGCACATATCTGTCTTTGTCAAAATTTCCCCTTCTTATAAGGATGTCCCATGTTTGTTTGTTTGTTTAAAGATTTTATTAATTTAATTTGAGAGAGAATAAGTGTGTACATGTGAGGGGAGAGGGAGGAGAGAGAGAGAGAGAGAGAGTCTTAAGCAGGCTCTGTGCTCAGTACAGAGTCTGACCCAGGGCTGGATCTCATGACACTGAGTTCATGATCTGAGCCAAAATCAAGAGTTTGACACTCAATTGACTGAGCCACCCAGGTGCCCTGCTAATGACAGGTTCCTAATGTTGTTGCTGAGAGTACTAAATGGATATGACTAATATGCTGAAGTCCCTGAGGCTCTGAGGCTGTGCCATACATTTTTGAGTCTTCAGTGTAGACACTTAATAAGTATCTTGTGAGCATTAATATAGATACATTATCATATAAAGATAATTCTTTTTATTAGGAATCCAGATGTTTAACATATGAGAAAAATACAAAAGCATAAAATCAAGAAGTTTTAAAAATCACTCTAACATTCAATTTGAATTGGGAATATCAGACAGAATTCTTAATTTTTTTCTGAAAGAATACTTCTTTTAAGTTCTTCCACTGAAAGGGCCTAGAAGCAATGAGACCTAGGAGCAAGGACCATCTCGATGTCTAGAGTGTTATTTGCTAAAAGAAAACAGCAGTCTGTAAGAAAGCCCAGGACCAAGAACAGAAAATACACTAGAGGAGCCTGGAATAGGGAATGTGCACGCAAGCATGTGGCGTGTGTGTGTGTGTGTGTGTGTGTTAGAAAACACGGAAGCTATCCCAGACAATTAGGGTCAGGTCTTAAGGCCAATAGAAACGGGATTGGGGCTCCTGTGGTTGAGCATCTGCCTTTGGCTCAGGTCGTGATCCTGAGGTCCTGGAATCAGTCTGGTATCAGGCTCCCCCGGAGAGCCTGCTTCTCCCTCTGCCTGGGTCTCTGCCTCTCTTTCTGTGCCTTTTAAAAAGAGCTTGAATAGCTTCCTACTGGCCAAAGAAGGGACAATTTAAGCATAAAAAATAGGGACTTGACATACTGAAATACATCGAGTAAAACCCATGAGGTCATAATTTTCCTTGGTCATTTTTGTTAAGACACTAAATTATTATTCTACAACTTCATAAAGTATCCTGGCTTTCCTATTTTTTTAAAAAGACTATTATTTATTTGAGAGAGAGCACGAGCAGGGGGAGAGAGAGAAGCAGGTTCCCCACTGAATAGGGAGCATGATGTGGGACTCAGTCCCAGGACCCTGAGATCATGACCTGAGCCAAACCCAGATATTTAATCAACAGAGCCACCCAGGCACCCCTGGCTTTCCTATTAAATCTATATTTCAGACTAACCAAATATTCAATTAGGCAAATTTCCTATTTTGCAGAAAATTCCAGTTCCTACATGAAGAAGGCAGGATAGAATTAGAAACTTCTAATAAAACTTCTAATAAATTAATGGATCTAGGCAACGTTTACTAACAACCATTGAAGGCCATAGGTGAAGGCTAATGAGAACCTCATTAGTGGACAAATCAAGCTGAGAATATCTGAACCCACTAAGCAATCCTATCTTACTGAGATAAGCTGCCCCTGGGGAAGTATCCAGCACCCGCACAAAGTATTCTTATCCTGGATCTAAGCAAGCCACTCCATTTACCAGCAGTTTCTAGGGCATAGGGATAAAAAATTCATCAAATGAGGCTCAAGGAAGCAATTAGCCAAATCAGCCATGAGAGTCACTCTGCAAATGATCTCATTTTATTCCTCTGGTTGTTGTTGTTACTAAGTAACAGCAAATGTAAACTGAAGGAAGGAATGGTTGCAAAGTTAAAGAGAGGTGAAAGCCATAATAACACTACATGCCACATGTGGATCTTGTTTGGATCCTTATTTAAATAAGTATTGGGCAGCCCAGGTGGCTCAGCGGTTTATTATTATTTTTTTTATTGGAGTTCAATTTGCCAACTTATAGCATAACGCCCAGTGCCTCTGACACTCACCTACTCATGCTCTCATTCTCTCTCAAATAACTAAATAAAATCTTAGTTTTATTTATTTTATCTTATTTTATTTAAAAATAAAATTATCTTATTTATTTTATTTAAAAATAAAATAAAATACTACATAAAAGCCCCTGGATATATATATATATATATATATATATATATATATATATATATATATATATCAAGTTATGATTGGCCAAATATTGATAATTGTTGAAGCTGGTTAATGGGTATATGGTTATATTAGAGTGTTTTGTCTTTCTCATAAGTTTGAAAATTTCTATACAATGTTAAATTTAAAAACTTAATTAGGGGGATCCGGGTGGCGCAGCGGTTTGGCGCCTGCCTTTGGCCCAGGGCGCGATCCTGGAGACCCGGGATCGAATCCCACGTCGGGCTCCCGGTGCATGGAGCCTGCTTCTCCCTCTGCCTGTGTCTCTGCCTCTCTCTCTCTCTCTCTCTCTGTGTGTGACTATCATAAAAAAAATAAAAATAAAAAAAAAACTTAATTAGGGGCAGCCCTGGTGGCCCAGTGGTTTAGCGCTGCCTTCAGCCCAGGGTATGATCCTGGAGACCCAGGATCGAGCCCCACGACAGGCTCCCTGCACGGAGCCTCCTTCTCTCTCTGCCTGTCTCTCTCTCTCTGTCATGAATAAATAAATAAAATCTTAAAAAAAACACCTAGTTAGAAAAGTGGGGTACCTGCACCCTAATGTTTATGGCAGCAATGTCCACAGTAGCCAAATTATGGAAAAAGCCCAGATGTCCATGAACAAATGAATGGATAAAGAAGATGTGGTATATATATATATATATATACACACACACACACATACACACACACACACACAATGGAATACTACTCAGCCGTCAAAAAATGAACTCTTGCCATTTGCAATAACGTGAATAGAACTAGAAGGTATTATGCTAGTAGAAATAAATCGGAGAAAGACAATTAACATATGATCTCACTCATACGTAGAATTTAAGAAACAAAACAGAGGAGCATAGGGGAGAAGAGGGAAAAATAAAAAACAAGATGAAATCAGAAGGAGATGAACCATAAGAGACTCTTAATTATAGGAAACAAACTGAGGGTTGCTAGAGGAGGGGGGATGGGGGGTGGGGTAACTGGACGATGGGCATAAAGGAGAGCACATGATGTGATGAGCACTGTGTGTTATATAAGACTGATGAATCACTGAACTCTACCTCTGAAACTAAGAATACATTATATGTTAATAATTGAATTTTTAAAAAAATCAAACAAAAAACTGAAAAAAAAACTTAATATGAAAAACACAGAATCCAGATGTAGAATCCAGAAGTGCCTTTAAAGTATATCACAGAGCAACATAAAGCTTTGGAGCCACACAGAGGAAGACAGTTCCCTCTGAGTAATCAGTAACTAGGACCTGAGACATTGACATCAGATGGGAATGTTGTTTATTTAAAATACGAACATTGAGCAACTGCTGATCTGGGGCTCTCAATCACTAAAAGGCCTGAGAATGCCAGAAACTGTCAGCCTTGGCATCAATCTGTACAAACATGCTGTAATAGCCAGAGCCTGGATTTCTGACAAAACAATCCAGCTGACTATATAAGACATCAAAGTCCTTTGGTCAAATAGGCTAAAGGTTTTCAAGATTTCTCTAGAGAGAAAATAGCTGGTTCAATTAATAGAGTATCTGCTATGTGCCAAACATTTATTATTATGCTTTAAGGGCTATATTCCTATTTGATCAGTAGGTTGCCTTCAAAGAATTACGGGGTAAAAGCACCCCCGGGTATTGCTATGACAGGTGGCAGGAACCAGGAGAACTTAGTCACTGCAGAAGCCTCGGGGGAAGTCACTTCCTTTGGAGGATATGCCTTAATAAAATGTACCTCTCTCTGAGTAGTTTGAATGTCAGACAGATGCAGCCTTTGCAAAAGGGAAAGAGAGGGAAGGTAGGGAAGGGAAGAAATGGAATGGAAGGGAAGGGGAGGAAGAAGGCAGGCAGGAAAGCAAAACGTTAATAGGGCATTTAGAGGCATTTAAACAGCCTCGGCATGCCTGTCAGAGAGTACTGTATACCCAGAGCCATGCTTAAGAGAAAACATTTACTCTGGGAGCACTGACACAACAGGCTGGTTCTCCCTCCTGGAAGGAGGAAATGAGTGATGTCTTTTTACTATGGTTATATGTTTGACTACCTATTTCTAGGAGTTTTCTAGTCCATTGGGAGGTGGTAAGACCCACACTCCTCCCCAGAAGATTCAAGGAAAGATGAAAGTGAAGTTAAAAATTAAGCTTTTGACAGAGTGAAGTCAAAGGATTTGGTGAAGGATTAATGGACTAAAACTGGAAATTCCAGAAATTCAGTACATTTTAAAGTTTGAAGGCTTCCTAAGGGAAGACAGGATTGCTTCTCCTAAATCAGGTCAGTCTTACTCTTCAATTGCTACTCATGACATGAAACGAACAATTCCACAGAGTGATAAGGGAGCCTTCTATGTTAAAGATCTTATCAAATATGTTTAGCAAGCGGGGAAATTGGGGGGGGGAATCTATTTCCACAGATTTTTTTCCCAAGGAAAAGTAAAAAGAACATATTTCTAGGGATTAGTATGAGGCAGACAAAGAAAGAGAGGCATGTGGTGTGTGTTGTATGATGCTTGTGTATCTGTGAGTGATGTGGGGTGTCTGGTGTACATGGTGAAAGATACGCATAAGTATGTTTGTGATGTGTGCAGTGTGGAGTGTGTAGTTTATATATATATATGTGTGTTGTGTTGAGCTTTGTTTGTATGTGTGTACAGGACATATGTGTATTATGTGTGTGGTGTGTGGGTACGGGTGTTTTCGTGTGTGTATATTTTGAAATAAACAGCAAAAGATGCTTCAGCATGTGATAATGGTGGTTGACCAGCTACTCATTCAAAAATATTTTGCAAATCCAACCTTTGAGAATCCGCTCACACAAACTGATGTGGCCAAAGCTCAAGGTGTTGATGAGCACATGATCAGTGCCTGTTGGCAGTGGTTGGTATGCCCAAGAGGGAGGGTGTGTGAGGAATGACCTGGCTCTCCTTGAGAAGGCAAAATTAATAGGTAGACAGTTAACCTTCAGCCTTATTAAGATATAAGACAGCTAATTTATTTTACCTTTACTTACTCTTTTTCCAACGTTCTTTTAGTACATTCAAATTTCTGACCTTGAGCCATCTCTTCTTGCCTAAAAACATGTTTGGCATTCCTTGCAGGGCAAGTTTACCATCGGTGAATTCCCTCAGTTTTTGTTCATTTCACTTTTGAGAGATGTTTTCACTGGACATGGAATTATGGGCGGGCAGAGTTTTTTTCTTTTTAAATAATTTTCAGGGGTCCATGTATATTTTTAATCAACTTTTTAGTTGCATAAAAGTGCAATGGTAAGGGAAGCAGATGGTTGAGTTAAATGGGTACTGGTGAACGGAGGAGGCCTAACTTTGATGCATGTTTTAAATCTTTCTGATTTAAAAGGAGTACTGGGTGGTTTTTGGTCAGTTCTTCCATGGGTTATGCTGACACCAAAGTGTTTTATACTTACAGTGGAGACCAAACCCTTCAGTCAGAAGAGGAGAAACTGGAACCCATTATGCAAATGGACAACCAGATCACTCCCAAGAAAGGTAGAAATCATTCACTATCCCACTACATAGGCTTTCTCTTTCTTAAATATGACATCATAGGGGCACCTGGGTGGTCAGTCGGTTAAGCCCTCTGACTCTTGATTTCAGCTCAGGTCATGGTCTCAGGGTCATGGGATTGAGCCCCACATAGGGTTCTTCACTGGGCGTGGAGCCTGCTTAGCATTCTCTTTCTCCCTCTGCCCCTTCCCCCAACATGCATGTGAACTCCCTCTTTTAAAAAGAGAGAGAGAGAGAGAGAGAGAGAGACATCATAGATTCTAGGTGAGAAAATTTTTTTAATAAAAACATATAAAAGGTTGGGGTGCCTGGGTGGCTCAGTCAGTTGAGTATCCAGCTCTTGATTTCTGCTCAAGTCATGATCTAAGGGTCATGGCATCAAGCCCCGTATCAAGGCTCCATGCCCAGCACAGCCTCTGCTTGAGCTTCTTTCTCTCCCTCTCCCTCTGCCCTTTCCCTCACTCTTGCTCTCTCTCTCAAATAAATAAATAAATAAAATCTTTTTTAAAAACCTTATAAAGAATCTTAGAAATGTTAGGAAAGGAAGTGAAAAAATTAATTCTGCTATAGTTTCCCATTAGAAAAACCTCAAATAAAAAAATTCATATACTTTAAGTCACTGTGATTCTTGTATACTTAGTTTAATCATTTGGGGGAGAACATGAGACAGAAGTGCACTATTTTTGTTCCAGCTCAAGGAGAAAGAGACAGATCCTTGGATAGAGCCTAGGCAGGATGAATGTTCTTGAGTCATTCTATCCTTGGGCATCAATACTTGCATATCCTGAAAACTTTTTTTAGGCAGACTGTTTATTTTGACCAAGTCAGGGGAAGGACAATAAGAAATTATTATTGTCTTAGAGCTATGTATATGTCTCACCCCTCGCAGAGGTGGGGGTGGGCAATGAATTATATTCTTTTTCGATTTATCTAAAGATGAGTGGTCTATTAGCTTTAAAATTTCTTCTTGTATTATTTTTGATATTTATTGATTTTGATAGTTTTCTATTTCTGTTTAATCTATAGTCAAACTTACATACAAGCATATAAAACATATGAACTGATATATATACAATTTATATCTATATATAATTTATATATAATCAATTTACATATACATAAATTTATTTCTGCCCTTTTGCTTAACATTTCTTTTCAGTTCTTTGGCTAACATTTCTTTCAGTTCCTTTATTAGTTTTCGGTCTTCAAATTCTCTCTTCTTTTTTGATAAATATCCTCAGGATTTTATCTTTGGCTTTGAGTATCCATGAGTTGGACACACAGTATCTACTTTTGCTCATCCCAAGCCCTTTGGAATTTCCCTTGTAGTTTACTTTTTAACTCAAGGCTTATTTAGAAGTAATTCATGTTGTTCCTGGAGCAATGTGGAGGAGACAAGTGGATAAACTCAAAAGGGTGCCCTAACCATAACATCAAGTCTGCCTCCTCTGCACATGGTGAGGACTGTCTCCCCTTTGCTCTACAGGTTTTTTTTTTCTCCCTCACCTCCAAGGATTCCCTCACCCCTGGCAAGCATTTCTGTTAGTTTTCCAGGTCCATTCACCTTCCTTTTAATTTTAAAGATTAGGTTTAGAACGCTTTGAAACAAGCCATCCTGTATATGCCTACATGTGTGGTTGGAGATTGGAGAAGTTTTTTTCTGATGGCCCAAGAACAGTGAGTTTTAGGCTGCAAGCCAAAGGAAGAACTGGCTGATGACTGAATTTTTCCCCCCTCTGCCTAGCTCCACGGTTCATTCACCATGGGCAAGTTTCCATGGTCCCCCGGCAAAGTGGGGGTCAATGTGTTCAGCCCTCAACAAGCCAGTAGGTCTTTGGCATCTAAATGTCTGGGAAGAGATGCTCTTAATAGACTCTCCCATTGTCGGGCTTTGGCACTTGACTCCTATTGTCCCTGTGCCCTGGGAGGCAGAACAAAAGCAAAAACAAGTAAAAATCTCTGAGATCAAATGTCTTCAGAAAAAAATCTGCCTTCAATGATCTTGAAGGCCTATCTGCACTATACCCTTAGCCTGAATATTTCATTCTTTCTGGCAGATCATCCATACTTTCAATGAAATATTTTATTTGATTGACTGATTTATTGATTTTTACGGGAGAGGGAGAGAGAGAATCTCAAGCAGCCTCCACCCACAGAATGGAGCCAACACAGAGCTCAATTTCATGACACTGAGATCACGACAAAATCAAGAATCAGATGCTTAACCAACCAGATGCCCTGAAATGTATTTTAAATATATTTCATCTAATGTTTCTATCTATTTACAAAGGGAGATTAGTCCAGAAAACTAGTTTTCCAGGTATTAGTGCTTTTTTTCCCTCACTTAGCAGTAAATCCAAAATTTGTCTAGCTGAGCTTTAAAACTCTTAGGAGTCAGCAATGCCCTTTTACCCTCCTGCTCCCCCTTCTGGAACGTCTACGGCAATTGCCCAATGCCTGCTCCACCACTGTACTACCAGGAGTACTGGGGCCATAGAGCTTGCCTCTCCTTTCACAAGTCCATAGATAGAGAAATATTGTGCCCCAGCATGGATTGTTTCTAGGAACGCCTTTCACATCAGTTTTAGATCACTTAGATGAAGAGATTTGTGACTTTGAGCTAACGAGATTTTGAGGAGGCAATGGAGTTGAGCTGATATTATAAGATGAGACTTTCAAAGAACCCTGGAAGAGGATGAGTGTGTTTTGTATGTGGGATGAACATGGATCTTTAAGGACCAGAAGGGGGAAAGGGGGACTATGGTAGTCAGAATCCTAAGATAACCCCCAAGATTCTGGCCCCTGGTGTACACGCACCTTCTGCCAGTTATTTAAGCAAACCCTAAGCTAGGTGCTGCCTGAAGGGATTTAGCAGTTTTATATATGGTCCTAAATTAGCTGGTCTTAAAATAGGGTAATTATCCAGGAAATTACCCAGCCCTTAAATCTGGAGTAGAGATCAGAGACCAAGCAGTTAGAGATACTCAAAGTGTGAGAGGGTTCAAGATAAAAGATTCTTTCTGGCTGGTTTGGGAACTGGAGGAGGCCATGTGAACAGCATCTTGGAACTGTAAGCAGCTCCCAGATGATAGCCAGCAGGGAGACAGCAACCTCACTACTACATTCATAGAAAAAAACTGAATTCTTCCAATAACCTGAATGAGGTTGGAAATTGCTCCTTGCTTAGAACCTTCCACTGAGAACTCCTCTGGGCTGATCCCTTGATTTTAGCCTATGAGACCATGACCAGAAAACCCAACCACACTATGCTAAACTCTATGCTCACTATTAACTTTGTGAGTTAGTAAAGGGATGTTGTTTTAAGCCATTACATTTGCGGAAATTTTTTTACACAACAATAGGAAATGAACACACTTTGTAAAACCTATCTACAACAGAACCTTCAACAAAGCATTATCTGAAATGTAGAAACGTTAGAACCACTCCATGTAAATCAGGAACAATGGTATAAAAGTCATGGATATGTGGTGCTCTCCACAATATACTGGTGGTTCTGACCCAATGAGAATATGAAATTAAAGGTCTGAGGTTAGCAAAAGAAGAAATAAAATCATTACTGTTTGCATATTCCCTACATAGAAAACCTCCCCAAATTAGCAGACATATTTTTAGAAACAACTGTAACTTTTGGATAGCTGGCTGGATATAGTAGCTATCTTTAATATAAGTCTAATTCGGTTCTTTACACCAACCACAGGCAATTAAAAAAATGTAACTAAAGGGACACCAAAGTATCCTCCATTGGGTTGTAACGTAGGTTATCTTTCCCCTTTGGGGCTGGCCAACAAATGTGCATTTTGATCTATGCCAATCTGATATGTGATCATAATTTCTCAATAGGTTTTTAAGATTTATCAAAATATAATTACACACAATAAAATCACAGATCTTAGGTGCATTTTAGATGAATTCTGGCAAATGCATAGACTCGTGAACAAGACTCTTAGAACACTACATTACTTTAAAAATCCCATCAGGTCCTTTCTGGTTCTCTTCACCCAGAAAGAATTGTTATTATGATATCTAACCACACACATTAATTTTGCCTGTTTTTAAAATCATAAAAATAGATCTCTCTAGTATGCACTTTTTGGTGTCTAGCTTCTTAAGCTGTATATTTTTGCTGACATTCATCCAGATTGTTGAGTGTGTATTTCCTCCCTTTTTATTTTTGAGTAATGTCCATTGTATTAAAATAAAGTATGTTAATCCATTCCAAACATTCAGCTATTTTGAATAAAGCTGCTATAAGCATTTTGGTAGAAGTTTTTTTGCAGACTTATGTCGTTATTTCTCTTGGGATAATGCCATTTGTTGAAAAAGAGTTTATTTTCCTCCTCTATATTGCATCTTGTGCATTTATTCAAAAGCATTTGACCGGGCAGCCCTAGCGGCTCAGCGGTTTAGCGCCACCTTCAGCCTAGGGCAGGATCCTGGAGACCAGGGATGGGGTCCCACGCCTGGCTCCCTGCATGGAGCCTGCTTCTCCCTCTGCCTGTGTTTCTGCCTCTCTCTTTGTGTGTGTGTGTCTGTCATGAATAAATAAATAAAATCTTTAAAAAACAAACAAACAAAAACAAAAGCATTTGGCCATGTCTGTGCATCTGTTTCTGGACTGCCTACACTCTTCCATTGATGAATTTGTTTGACTTTACACCAACATTACACTAATTATTCTAGCTTCACTCTACCTTAAGAAGTACATTATATTTTTATTGCAATTTTTCTGTGCAATGTGCTTATATGACAATTCATAGACCACTGATACAAATTAGAGAATGAAACAGTTTCCTGGAAAGAAAATCTTTGCTGTTATTAAGGGAGCTTACTTTCAAGACTAACCCAGAGTATTTGTAAGTAGTTCCTTTAAAATAGGCATGAACCAAACTATCTGAAGGACTGGTTTAATTTTCTGGGACATTCTTGTTGGGATTATATTTTAGGGAGGCATGGGACTGCTTCTTATTATATCATAATTTCTTAAAGGCCATTAAGTACAATGAAATTTTAAATTAATATATAGGGTTCCATAACATACTACTGTATGTCAGCTACACTTGAATATATATATATGTATATATGTATATATATACATACATAATATTGTATGTCAGTTATACTTGAATATATATATATTTCCCAATTTCTGCTTCCTATATATATATGGTTCCAAATTTCTGAGTGCCCTTCCTAAAGTTGCTGTATGGTTTTATCTCAGCTATGTTAACAATGGACACTTTGTTTTACTTCTTAGTTCGAAGTTTTTGTTCCTTCCGCTATGGATTATCTCTCCTCTTGCATCTCTGTAACGTTGCATTAATGGCACAGAACATGTGTCTGAACCTCACAATGGTAATCATGGTGAACAGCACAGGTCCACACAGTTTGCCTAATACCTCCACAGAGGAGCACCTGGATAACATAAAGGTATATGAAAAATACTATCCATAGTCATAAGTTTAAAATCCTATCTTGCTAATTAATTTGTGTAGAGATTGAATGTTATCATAATTGATGTGACAGTAATTATTAGAAAAAGAAATTCAGATCTTCATCTATTTTGCTAGTAACCTAACTGTTTAAACATGTTCCATGATTACAGCATGACTTAATATTTGTGAAGGGCTTTGTTATGTGAAGCTTTCTATATAAAGAAGAAGAAAACCGAGCATTAGGGTCCCTAGAGAAGTTTGACCAGAGAAAAAAAGAGAAAGCATTTCAAACCAGAGTAGAAGTGAAGATACATTGTTTATTTTTTTTAAGTTTTTGAATAGACAATATATTTACACGTTTCACTAATATTCTCTCTGAAAGATAATGAGTTTCTACCAATCAGAAGATGTAGTACAAGAAAAAAATGGAAATGAATGGGAAGAATATTGTTTATCTACTCTTTCTATGTTCTGTTATGATTGCACAGGCAAACAAACATACTTTCTTATTTTCACCTTTTTCTACATTAAAAATAACTTGATGTGCAATGTATTGCACCTTAATTTTTTTTTACATAATCATCAGAACTAGGCTTATATATGACACATATGTGGGAATTCCCAGACAGGGAATTTAAAATACCTATAATTAATATGTTAAGGATCTAATGGAAAAGGTTGGTAACATATAACACTAGATGGGTAATGTCAGTAAAATGAAAACTATGAGAATGAATAAAAAAGAAATAGAAATCAAGGCAACTATAACAGAAATAAAGAATGCCGTGACAAATTCATAAGTAGTCTCAACATAGCTGAGGGAAGAATCAATGAAGTCCAATATGGGTCAACAGAAATTTCTCAAGCTGAAATGAAAAAGAACAGGTGGGTTGGGAGAAAACTTAACAGAATATCCCAGAATTGTGGATAATATCAAGTGGCTCAGTTGGTTAAACCTTAAATTCTTGATTTCGGCTCAGGTCATGATCTCCTGGTGATAAGATTTGGCTCCACGTCTGGCTCCATGCTCAGCTGGCATCTGCTTGAGATTCTCTCCCTCTGCTCCTTCCCTGTTCTCTCAGATAAACAAATTTTTTAATTAAAAAAAGGGCATGTTATATAAATGGCTGGAATACCAGAAAGAAAAAAAGAGAGCAGTAAGAAGTAATATTTGAAAAATTAATGACTGAGAGCTTCCAAAATTACTGGCAGACACCAGACAAGATCGGGCATGTTCAGCGTGGTATGGCCGTAGACAAATTATGGCAGACACCAAACCACAAGCCCAAGAAGTTCAAAGAACACCAAACAGTATACTAAAAATATAAATAATTAACAAGAAAAACCAACTAGACATAAACATATTTAAATTGGAGAAAACCAAGATAATCAGAATATCCTGAATGAAGACAGAGGAAAAAATATCTTACCTACAGAGGAGCCAAGTATAAGAATTACAGAAGACTTCTTATCAGAAACCATCCAAATAAGAAAAGAGGGGGAAAAAAAAATCTTTCAAGTGTTGAAAGAAAAAGAATCTGACAAGTTATAATTCTATATCCAATAAAATTACATCAAAAGTGAAAGAGAATAAAGACCATTTCAGGCAAATAAAAACTGAGGTAATTTATTGCCAGCAGGCCTGCCATAAAAGAAATGTTAAAAGGTGGTATATTTTAATTCAACTATATCAATAACCACTTTACTTATTTGTTTGTTTGTTTGTTTGTCTTAGAGACAGCCTGCGAGCTGTGTAAGAAGGGGCAAAGGGAAAGGGAGAGAGAGAATCTTAAGCAGGCTCCACATGGAGCCCAACTCTGGGCCTGTTCTCACAACCCTGAGATCATAAGCTGAGCCTAAATCCAGAGCTGGACACTTAACCAACTGAAACACACTGGCACCCCTCAATAATCACTTTATTTTTATTTATTCTTTTAGAGATTTTTATTTATTTATTCCAGAGAGAGAGAGGGAGGGAGAGAGAGAGAGAGAGAACATGGTGGGGAGGGGCAGAGGAGGAGACGAGAGAGAAACCAAATGCAGGGCTCAGTCCCCCCTGACCCTGAGATCAGACCTGAGCTGAAATCAAGAGTCAGATGCTCAACAAACTGCACCACCCAGGCACCCCTCAGTAATCACTTTAAATGTGAATGGTCTATATATGCCAGTTAAAAGACAGAAATTTTCAGATTTGATAAGAAAGGTCCTCAGATATGAAGTCTACGAGAAAAGTCTTCTTAAATACAAAGACTCCGATAGATTAAAAGTAAAGAGATAAAGAAAGATGCAAACACTATGCTACCATGAAAACACTAATCAAAAGAAAATTTAAGTAGGCATATTAATTTCAGACAAAGCAGAATTTATAGCAAGGAAGATTATCAGAGATAAGGGAGTATTACCTAATGATGAAGGAGTCAGTTCTCCAAAAATACTTAATAATCCTAAAAATGCATGTTCCTAACAACAGAGCAGCAAAATACAGAAGGCAAAAACTGTTCAAAATGAAAGTAGAAAGAGACAAACACAAAATTGGTAACTGTTTTCTATTTGTTACATCTGTTCTTTGTTTCCGTTTTTTTTTTATTATTATTATTTCGTTTTTTCCTTCTCTGGGTTTGAGTATTTTATGTGATTCAATTTGTAGCATTGATACCTTATAACACAGTATTCCCAATTTTGCTGTCCCATCTCTTATCACAATGCTGTTATTCATTTCACTATCTACATTCTATAAATACCCATACATGATTACATTATTACCTTAGTTATCTTTTAGATCAACTCAAGATAAAATATTTTATATGTTCTTTATTCTTTTCTGATGCTCTTCATCAGAAGAGCATATATATATATATCTCCATGCTTTAAAGCTATCTCACTTTCTGTCTGCGGAAAGAATTTTTTTCTTTTTTATTTTTTTTTTACATTTTTTTTTAAAGATTTTATTTATTTACTCATGGGAGACAGCGAGAGAGGCAGAGACACAGGCAGAGGCAGAAGCAGGAGCCACACAGGGAGCCTGTTGAGGGACTCGATCCTAGAACCTCCAGGATCATGCCCTGAGCTGAAGGCGGGGTTAAACGGCTGGGCCACCGGGGCTGCCCTGCAGAAAGAATTTCTATTAAAATTTCCTTTGTTGGTAATGCTTTTGTTTTTACAAATAAGAAATCTTTGCATAGCCCAAGGCAAAAAAAAATTGCTGTTTTCTTCTAGAGGTTTTATAATTTTAGGTTCTACATTTATTTATTTATTTATTTATTTATTTATTTATTTATTTATTTATTTATTTATTTTTTAACAAGATTTTTTTTATTATTATTATTTATGATAGTCACAGAGAGAGAGAGAGAGAGAGAGGCGCAGAGACATAGGCAGAGGGAGAAGCAGGCTCCATGCACCGGGAGCCCGATGTGGGATTCGATTCTGGGTCTCCAGGATCGCGCCCTGGGCCAAAGGCAGGCGCCAAACCGCTGCGCCACCCAGGGATCCCTAGGTTCTACATTTAAATGTAGGATTTATTTAGACTTAATTTTTACATACATTGTGTTGAAGATTCTTTTTCACATATAGATATATACAATTGTTCTAGTTGAAAAGACTCTTCTTTTTTCACTGAATTGTCTTAGAATGTCTGCTGAAAAGAAATCAGTATTTATAGGACTAATACTACCTACTTGATTTTAAGACTTGTCATAAAGCTATAGCAATCAAAACAGCATGGTATAGCTTACAAAAAATAGTTGCTGAAATAGAATAGGAAGTTCAGAAATAGATTCACATACATAAGAAATCCTGATTTTTTTATGATCCACAAAAGAACAAACATAAAATTGGACTCCATCAAAATTCAAAAAAACTGTTGAGAGAATAAAAAGACAAACAGGAGATAGGGGTAAATGTTTTCAAATCATTTAATAAAGGATTTCTATCAAAACTGAATAAAAATGAAACTAAAAGCTCAATTAAAGAAATGGGAAAAATGTGAACAGACGCTTTACCAAAGAAGATACATGGATGGATGGCAAATACTCATGAAAAGATGCTTTTCTACATCATTAGTCATTAGGAGCAAGCAAATTAAATCACACAGGTTTATTATACTATATGCAATTCAACTGGCTAAAATCATGAAGATTGGACATTCCAAGTGTTGGCAATCTCTCACATTGTTGGTGAGGATACAAAATGGTAGACTCATTTCAGTTAAGCATATGAGTACTATATGATCCTGCCATTTCATGCCAGGTATTTACTGAAGAGAAATGAAAACCTATATCCATACAGAGACTTATACATAAATGTTCACAGTAGCTCTATTTGTAATAGCCAAAAACTAGAAACAAGTATGTTCACCAATAAATGCATAAACTGGTACATCCATAAAACAGAGTGCTACTTAGCACTAAGAATAAATGAACTAAGGACACACAGAACATCATGGATGAAACTCAAAATAAGTAGGCTGAGTGGATTAAGCTAAACAAAAAAAAGTTTTATATATATATAATATATTATATTTTATATATGTAGCACATATATACATAGCATATGATTCCATTTATATAAAACTTCCAGAAAATAAAAACTATGTCAGAGTGACAGGCAGATCATTGGTGAAAGAAAAGCAAGAGGGAGGAATTACAAAAGAAGTAAGGAAACTTCTGGAGATGGAGAATACATTCATTGCCTTGATTGTGGTTATGCTTTTGTGAGTGTACACATAATTAAAAATTTATCAAGTTGTATGCTTTATGCCAAAGAGTTCAATTGTGACAATTATGCCAATAAGGTTCATTGTGACAACTGTACTTCAAAAATTTGTTAAAATCTTTTTATCTAAATTTTGAATAATCTTGAATTACATTCATTAGATATTTGTAGCATTCCATTGCTTTGGTTTAAATATTGAGAACCCATGTTCTAGAGAAATGGCTATTCAAAGGGGCCATCTACTGAATCCTTCACTATAGCAAAAAAGGAGGGAACTCGCACTGTGGAGGCCCTATAGAACCTCTTGCTGTAATCCAAGGAAACTGATCTCCTTCAAATATGAGTCACAGAAAAGGAATTCTCTTTGCTGCCATACAAAGGTATTAGATGCAAAAAATGAGAAAATATAGCATGTAATTATTCCAAAATATGAAGACTCACCAGAAAACTGTTTCCATAGAGCAGATCTAATTGTAACCTGAAATTACAAAAGGAACCTAAAAGCCATGAAGCAATTATAGTTAGGGAAGGAGCACCACAGGGCAGTACATACAGGAGCTCAACGCAGAGACCATCAGGCAACAGGAGGCGATGCTCAGGCAGTAGGCAAATGAAGACAAGTTCACAGAACTCAGGGAAGGACTATGGGAAAACAAGACAGAACAGTTTAGAAAAGAAGAGAAACCAAGCAAAAGAAAAGAGAATTGGCTTTCTTCCTTCATTGTGTCATCCATTATTTCCACAGTTCAGCGTGAGACTTTCTCTTTGTGATTTGATCTATCATTACTGTTCTCTCTGGGAGTAGTATTTATGTGGGGGAAATATTGTTTTGTGAATGAAGTTAATATAGAGGAATCAGAGGAAGAGAAAAGGCAAGAGGACATTAATGACTGCGGTAGGCATAGTACTCTACAGAAGAGTTGACATAGCATAGTGATGTTCAAGAAACAAGTATTAAGTGTCCATGCTGCTGGGGGTTCAGAGGGTGTCCTTGACCACAAAGACTTTACATTATAGTTGAAGATACCACTAGTACATGTCAGGACACACAAGAAAAGTTTTTATGACAGGACAGTAAAGATCCCATGATAGAGAAAGGGGCAGAGGGGGAGCTCCTTTAAACTTAGTGGGCTGGCAAACCAGTTACCTTGCATCCCTGAATATTACAGTAACTCACTAGGATGCAGAGTGGCTCCATGTGTCTCCTTATTTCTTTCAGAACCCTGTGTATAACTGGAGTCCTAAAATCCAAGGCATCATCTTCAGTTCCATCTTCTATGGTGTACTCATCACCCAAATTCCTGTTGGATACTTGTCTGAAAAATACTCCATCAAGAAAATGATTGGCTTTTCATTATTCCTCAGCTCTCTACTTAGTCTGTTAATGCCAATGGCAGCTGAAGGTGGTGCAGCTTTCCTCCTGGCATGCCGAGTAGCCCAGGGAGTAGCCCAGGTATTAAGATAACACAAAAACTGAATAGGGTTTAAATTCACAGGAAGTATCAGAAATCAGCTGTCCCAATCCTTCTAATTGCAGGGGTCGGCATTAATATCTCAGCACATGATATGGGTCAAGTGGGCTCCTCCCTTGGAACGAGGCCGACTTACTACCTTGAGTCTATCAGGTAATGACTTAAGGCCTAGAATGTTTGAATCCCATTGTCATTTCATTGTATCATGTTCTTCCTGGAGCTATAAAAGATGTGTGTTTTGAGGTGTCCAGGGCTTTGGAAACCAACTGTTCCAGCATCTTTGTTTTAAAGATGCAGTAACTGTCTAGAATGAAGAAAAGGGTTCTTCATCTCAAACAGCAAGGAAAAAAAAGAGAGAAAAGCAAATATTTTATTATTTTCTTCTGCTCAGTGTTATGCTTTACAAATGTATTTCACTGAAAATTGTTGATTGCTACTGTGAGGCTACATTATCTCTATTCTCAGGTGTCTGTGTTCTTTAGGGGTTTTCTTTGTGTCTTCTGATTAGGAAATCTGCTGGGGTCCTTCATTGTTCTGCTTGTGACTGGATTCATCTGCCAGTCCCTGGGCTGGCCCATGGTCTTCTATATTTTTGGTAAGTCTCCTTCTATAACATCCCAGTCATTATTCAGAATTGAAAAAAATTAAAAATAAAAACTGACTATAATGTCAGTTTTATAAATAATTTAATTTATATAAAGCTAATGACATCAAAAATCATGAATTTCACTGAAGGAAAGGGAGAAGTCAACATTAAGTCCACATTACAAGCAGAACTATACATATGTCATTGTATATAACCTCCACAATTCTATAATGTAGGTACTGGAGATCCATACCCCTTATATGAAACCCTGGGGGAAAGAGATGACCCATTATTGTTCATAAAAAGGAGTATACTAACTGAAGCAATGCTAGGAAGGAGATACGTAGGGGAAGACACCCCAATCCCACTCAGCTTTCTCTTTCTTGCCTTCTTCTCAGGCTGCTTGCCTCATCTATCTAGAAAATAGATGACACAGAGACCTGTTGATGTTCATTCAACCCAGCTATCTGTGAGCAAGGCAGGATACAGAAGGGTAAAGAATGAAGGGCCTAGAGGGACAAACAGAAGACAACTAATGCATACTGTGAGCAAATGGCAAAGTCATAATGTGAAAACGTGCCTTCTGTCTTCCAAATGCCACTGATCTTCATCACTAAATTAGTCATCAGTAGTAGGTAATGAGTAGTGACAATATCCAAACCCTATACCAGGAAAGGGGCTGATAACACTGGGACCGTCTAGTCTGGTAAAAAGAAAACTTGAGAGAACATGTGTAGAAGAGAAATGCACCCCTGCTCTATATTACAAAATGAAAACTAATTAGCAGAAATTACAGGGAGGTGAGGTTTGTGCTCCAGGAATGACACGCTCAATAATTAATGCTGCCTACCAGTCCTGATCAAAGGTTGGATGACCTCTGACATTCACATTGTATTCCTGTTCCAACGTCATATGCATGTGTACAGAACATATGTCATTTGCAATTAGCATAGGTGGCTCCAGGAGCCTCAGAGAAAAGCACTATGCATTGTACTAGGATAGCAGCTTTCCCCTGAATTGCCTCATATGGAGGCACCTGGAATGGGGGGAAAGGCTTAGAGAGTAGCAGGGTAGGGATTCAGGTGGCTGCCTCCACAAATCTTTACCTTGAGGCGTCACATAGTGCCCACCAGATGCTAGATGGCCTGCCCCTGCTGGTGGCAGAGGCAAGACTAAAACCAAGAGGTTTTGTTCCATTTGAATATTTTTCTTGATATAGTTAAATAAATCTGGATCCACACTGCTTTAAAGAACAAAATAACATCTGCCTTTGAGCAGCTTCTAATCGCTGGAGAAAATATCCCAAAAGAGCAAATGGCTTACAAACTCACATTTGTGCTTAAAACAGCCATCCATCCTGCTATGTTTCTTTTCACTCAAAACTTCTCATGTCTCTTCAAATCTCTAAAATGGCTCCCTTTCTTCTCTGCCTTCTGTCATGTCACCTCCCTTTGAACACCTCCTTTGGAGAATTTATTGCTCAATCTGTCTGTACCCACTGCTTCAACCTCCCAGATTTCTTTCTCTTTTTTTAAAATTTTTATTTATTTATGATAGTCACACAGAGAGAGAGAGAGAGAGGCAGAGACACAGGCAGAGGGAGAAGCAGGCTCCATGCACCGGGAGCCCAACGTGGGACTCGATCCCGGGGTCTCCAGGATCGCACCCTGGGCCAAAGGCAGGCGCCAAACCGCTGCGCCACCCAGGGAGCCCCACCTCCTGGATTTCTATGCAACTTCTATCTGACTCGTGTCTGACCCATTCTGCCATTGAGACAACTCTTGATCATTTACAGCTTCCATCAGAGTTGCCCTAAGTCCGCACTGACCCCATTCTGGCGCCTCTCCAGCCAGACCCTCTTCATGAAGCAGAGTCTGTGGGTTTGAGATTATATGCTCATCAGAGTCCATGGTCATATTCCTAGTCATCACTCCCAGAATTATTTGCTCAAAACAAGGCTTTTCAAATCTAGCAGGATTCTTCTGCACATCTATTGAATTTAGACTTGGTTGAGGAGGGGCAGGCAAAACTGCTTGCAGAAGATGCAAATGGAACATGATAGGGAAGGTACTAATTTCTATACACATCCAATTAAAACATAGTGATATGGGAATGGATCTGGGTAGGAACAAGAGATTAAGCCTCTGACCACAGAGACCAGGGATTTGTGACCAGTGGAATCTAAGAATTCTAACTTCAAATCTCATTCTTTCTCTGGTTTCTTTCAAAAGTTTTCTTTGTCTTATATTTTCTGTAGTTTGAATATAATGTGCCTTGGTGTAAATTTTTTTGTTTACCCTGTTGGTGTTCTCTTGAGCTTCCTATATCTGGTTTGGCATCTATCATTTATTTTGGAAGACTCTCATTATTACTTCAAATACTGCTCCTGTTCCTTTCTCATTCTTCTCTTTCTGATAGTGTCATAATGTATATATTACACCTTTTGTAATTGTCCCACAATTCTTGGATACTGTCTTTTTTATCCTTTATGTCTATCGGCGATTCAGTTTTGGAAATTTTTATAGACATTTCTTCAGGCTCAATGATCCTTCCTTGGCCATGCCTAGTCTATTGATTAGCCCATAAAAGGCACTCTTCACTTCTAGATTAGTGTTTTTGATTTCTGGCATTCCCTTTTGATTTTCTTTAATATTAGAGTTTTCTGTCTCCTTACATGAATCATATATTTTTGTATGTTGTCCACTTTTTTCCATTAAGAGCTCTTAGTAATATTAGTCACAGTTGTTTTAAATTCTTGATTTGATAATTCCAATATCTTTGAATTGGTTCCAATGCTTGCTGTCTTCAAACTATATTTTTTGTCTTTTAGTATGCCTTATGATTTTGTCTTTTAGTATGCCTTATGATTTTGTTGTTGTTGAAAGCTCACCAAGATGTAGTAGGTAATAGGAACTGAAATAGTCTTTCAATGTGAGGTTTTATGTTTATCTGGCTTGGCTAGGGGTTAGGCATTGCTTACTATTTGCTATAAACTCTATAGTTTCAGAGACTACAGTTTCTGTTTTTGTGTTTTTACGGACTTCTTAAATAAAGTTTGACACATGCGGCTTTTTTTAAATTTGTATTCTTATTTATATACAGGGAACCTACTGATGTGGTGGTAAGGTGTGTGTTGGCGGGGAAATAGTATTCTATAGTTATATGATTAGTCTTAGTCTTCCTGGGAGCCTGTGCCTCTGGGCTTCACTTTCAAAAGTCCTTCCCAGTGTTCCCCCCATTAAAGTAAGATAGGAAGGCCAGCGGGGGATGCAGGTGGTATTTCCCTTCCCTTAAGCTGGTTAGGCTCTGGTAAAGGTTTCCCTTGACAGCAGGCTTTGTTAAGAACAGAATGCTCTGGACATAATTCAAAACAGCTACTTTTCCTTTCCCCTCTCTGATCTTCACTGTGAGAACCTGGTTAGGTCTCCAGGAAGTAAAACTCACAAAAGTATGAGGGTCCTTCCAGGACTCCCTCCAACTCCAGATTTTTTACCTCTCAAACTTGTCCACACAGCCTACTGCAATTAACCAATTGCCAGGTTTTCCTAACCTGGTACTGGTTCCCATGCAGTTTTCTGCTTCTGGGCATCTGTTTCAGGAAGTTGCAATTCTCTGTATCCACTCATCTGTTTGTCCAATTTGGGGGAAAATAGCTTGCCCTATGTCCTCAATTTTCTGATGGATAAAATAGGAGTTGTCGATTTTTACTTTATTCAATTTTCTTGTCGCGAGGATGGGAGGAATGACTTTCAAGTTCCTTACATGCTGAATCAGAAACCAGAAGTCTCTATCCAGGTCATTTTGAAGTTACATTTCTCAACATAGTATGAGAAGACATATTTTATTTAAGTTTCTTAACAAATCCATAACTTGATTTATAACTTTTAAATGTTCATGTGAGTTTCCAGGCCTCACAAACGTTAGAGTTGCCCAAACCTCCATGCCCATAAATCAAGCAGAAGTTCTTCAGTCCACATTTGACCTGACCTCTTAATCACATCCACCACCATCAATGGTGCCTTTGCCTGACTCTGTGCATTGGATTTTGTTCTTCTGGTCATTCTGTTTTAGTCTTTTGCAGACTTATCCTCCTCCATTTGTTATTAACTCTTGTCTTCAAAATTCTGCCCCAGGCTACTCCTCTAGGACTGTATCCCCACCCTAAAAATATAATTCATGCTAAGTATCAATTACCACTTATTAACCATATGTCCCTGGGAAAGGATGTGGACCCTTCTGAACATTAGTGTTCTCATTTTGAAAAAGAGCTAATAGCACCACATGAGTTTCTGAGTTTACAAAAATAATACATAGGAAGGTACACATTGCACATGTATTTATTAGGCATTCACTTCTATCCACTTACATTTCACCTTGGGATTGGTCACAGAATTCATTTCACATTCAGGTCACAGAATGATATGGAAATGGTATATTGTAGAAATACCCTTCTAATGCTTTTTAAAGAGTGTTGTAAAAGTCTCAGATCTTACAGTGGCTCCAAATTTCCACATGGTCTGATCCCATCAACTCTTGTCCTTATCTTTTCCCACCCACCCCCCTGCCTCCCCTCCAGTCACACTGGCCTCATGACCTCGGCCTTCGGCACTCTCTGCTCCCTCTGCCTCACGTCAATGCCCCAGCCTTCACTGAGCATGACACTCCTCACTTCCTCCTCCTGTAACAACTCTCCATAGCTCTTGTCACTGATATCTAATACCTTTTAGTTATTTACTTTACTTCATCTCTTTCATCCACTAGACAGTAAACTCTATGATGATAGACATTTTTGTATTTTATTCATTGCTACATCCCCAGTACTTAGAATAGTGAATGGTACATAATGGGCATATAATCAATATTTATCAAATGAATGAATGCATTCTGGAAGACTGACTGATGAATACTACATACTCCCTGTCTTAACAGAAGATTCCTCACAGAGGACATGTATAATCCCTCTGGCCTGGGCTATATCTTGGGAGCATAGCTAAGACCTGGTTCTCAAAGCTAGGTGATTGCCAAGCCCTGTAAAAGCTTAGTTGTGCTATAGTCTCACGGTGGAACACTCTGGCAATTTGTAGAGATAAGGGCCTGAGAACAGGGAGTCCCACTATCATGAGCAGAGGGATACAGAGTTTGGATCAGGAGAGACCAAAGTGCTTACCGTCCTTCCTGCAAAATTCATTCTGTAGGCAGAAGTAGCTACAGATACAGAGAGGACATCAAAAATGTAAGCCTTGTTGCAATGTTCTAAAGAACAAGGAGGTCCAGGTTCTGTGAGCGATAATGACAAATGCTAATTTGGGAAAGAGCCTTTACTATAGACAGAAACCGTTTCGATTTTAACCTGTCCTACTTTGATAGGTGCTTGTGGCTGTGCCCTAAGTCTTCTCTGGTTCATTCTCTTTTATGATGACCCAAAGGACCACCCATGTATAAGCATCAGTGAGAAGGAATACATCTTGTCCTGCCTCAACCAGCAGGTAGAACACAGATGCTCCACTGTGGTATCTCCCAGATTCTGTGCCAAATGAAAGTGTATTCCAGCTTGTCCTACTGTGCTAATAGTTAATTTTTTTTTTTCTCCAGGTCAGCTCAAGCACACAGTCTCTGCCAATCAAAGCTATGATTAAGTCTCTTCCATTCTGGGCCATTGCTTTCGGTTCTTTTGCTTTTCACTGGACAAATACCATTATGGTTTTGTACACTCCAACGTTTATCAAGGCCAAGCTTCACGTGAACATAAAAGAGGTAAGTCTACCTGTGTTCTCCAACTTTATGAAGGACTCTACTCATTTCTTTGTTTCTTATTACTTTAATCCTAGCTCTTGACTGCCCCTACACTGTTTAGCTGATGTTCTGTACCTGGAGATTCACTGTTTCTAAGTCTTATGTAACATTTCCCAGGAAAAAAAGGTGTAAGCAGTTTCTGACACTCCCACAATAGAACACACTCACTCATGTTCCCACAGGTTCCCTACCTCCCATTCAATGGTCATGCTATAAATGCTGATTGTGCATTCAATGCACAATCACCCTAAATAGTAGTACTTACGGCTCAGCACCACCATTTCCTACAGAGACTAGGATCCTTCCCTGTCACCCTGCTCAGCTCACTCCCAACCTGTCTCTTGGGATAAGGTAATGAGTCCTGGGTGGAGAACCCATGACTCAGGTCTTGCTTTGAAAGGATGGACATTCTCATTGCTTGTCTGACCTGGAGAATCAATATTCCCTGAACCTTACAATCAATGCCATAATAGCTAGAAAAGACTCCTATAGGAATAGAATGCCCAAAGTGCCATTCATCGATCAACCTCCAGTAACTCACCCCGGGGGCCAACCTAAACAGTGAGGTCCCTTAAGCACTCTCTGATTCAGTGTTATCCTTCTTGAGACCACAGAGAGGTTGAAAGGATTAACAGCAGCGGTTCAGCATAAGGACTGTATGAATGTCTGTAATTGCTGCTATTGCTAGTTCTGCCATTTCCCCCAGGGCAGGCATTCCCCATTCCCAAATGTAGTCTTCCAATTTCTATTCTCCAGGACTTTCAGGTCCTGTGACTCTAAGAACAGAAAACTAGACAGGCTCTGACAACTCTTTCTGACCCCCAAACTATTTTCCTCTTTCTTTTGGGTGGTGTGGCCCCAAGTATGAATTCTGAAGTTGCATGTTGATGGTTTCTTGTATGGCGGTACAAATTTTAGATACTGAATTTTAGTTTAGGGATGACTCTATCATACTCACCCTCACAATAACATTTATTTTCCAGAATGGGCTGCTGTCAGCTCTCCCCTATTTGTTTGCCTGGAGCTTTGGCATCCTAGTAGGTCACCTGACAGACTTCTTCCTGTCCAGGAATATTCTCCGCTTAATTACCATCCGGAAACTCTTCAACACTCTAGGTAAGAACAGCCAGGACATTCAAGCACCTTGAGGCCCTTCGCCTCACCTAACCGCATGTCTGAATCTCTCCCCAGGACTTCTCCTGCCTGCCTTCTTCAGTTTGTGTCTGCTCTACCTGAGTTCCAGCATTTATAGCATGACCATTTTTCTGATACTTGCCAGTTCAACAGGAAGCTTTTGTATGGGTGGAGTACTTATAAATGGCTTGGATATCGCTCCCAGGTAGAGTTTTAAAAATCTCTTTCTTGTATTCAAACTCTCCAGGGTGTTTTAAGATTTCAACTATTTTGGAGTTCATGGCCAACAGTCCAAAATGCTTCCTGAAGAAGCATCAATATAGTTCAGATATATAATGTAAGTAATCATTATGTGCTTAATGATATATTAATGTTTGCAACTCATAAATACATATGAAGTATAGCCTAGTGATTCAGAACACAGATTCTCAAGTCAGGTTAGGTTTTATTTTTTTATTTTTTAAGATTTCATTTATTTATTCATGAAAGACACAGAGGAGAGAGAGAGAGGCAGAGACACAGGAAGAGGGAGAAGCAGGCTCCATGCAGGGAGTCTGATGTGGGACTCGATCCTGGGACTCTAGGATCACGCCCTGGGCCAAAGGCAGGCGCTAATCCACTGAGCCCTTCAGGGATTCTCCAGGTCAGGTTTTAATAGCAGCATGACCACTCTCCTCAAGCAAATCATTTACCTTCTCTGTGTCTGTTTCACACCTATAAAATAAATAAAATAAAATAAAATAAAATAAAATAAAAGAGTAATAAGGGAATACTTACCACAGAGGGTCATTAGAGGATTAAATAAGTTAATTCAGGTCAAGTATATAGAATAGTCCATGGCACATAGCAAACACTGTATAAAGGTTACCTGTTCCTCATGGCTATTGTTATTGTATGCATGTTTATATATTTTGAATCCTCATGACAACCCAACAGATAGTAATACTTATTTTATAACTAAGGAAACTGAGGGTCAGATACTTGTCGGCCTAAGATCTCACCACTGGTTTGGGATCTTATCTAGGATTTTAATCTAGATCTGTCTGATAAAATCTTTTGCTTTTACTGTTATACCTTTTTTTAAAAGATACATAAGTATGACTGATGGAAGCAGCCCTGCCATTTGCATAATTCCAGGGGGGGCACTGTTTACTTTGTACTTTATAGGGCTAGTAGTCCCTGGGGAACATGCATCCATCAGGAACAGAATTCTCTGAAATTTAGCAAAATAGCGGCTGTAGGGTAGAGAGGCAAAATCAAGAAAAAGAATAATCCATATTCTGTCTCAGTTCTTATAAAGAATGTTGCCCATGATATCCATACAATGTGAGTGCCGGAGTAATGAGTACAGGTATCCATTTGTTTTATTCAGTTCCAAGGCCTTTCTTAAAAATGCTCGCAGGAGTTCTGATTACTTGGAATTATATAAAACATGTAAGGCCGGGATCCCTGGGTGGCGCAGAGGTTTGGCGCCTGCCTTTGGCCCAGGGCGCGATCCTGGAGACCCAGGATCGAATCCCACGTCAGGCTCCCGGTGCATGGAGCCTGCTTCTCCCTCTGCCTGTGTCTCTGCCTCTCTCTCTCTCTCTCTCTGTATGACTATCGTAAATAAATAAATAAATTAATAAAAAAAAAAAAAAAAAAAATAAAACATGTAAGGATTATTTGATATAGAAAGCACAATGTCAAGTGAGCCGCAGGCATGTTGAAATCAAGAATATATATGGTTCTTTCTGCCCATGGATGCCACCGAGGAAGCACTGTTAAACTCTCCCCACCGACCACTGTCATGTCTAAGCCAGAGTTTCCCAAAGAGCCTGAACAGCTGCAGAAGCTCTTCATGGAAGGTTTGAGCTTTGAAATGACCAATGAAAGTCTGAGGAGCCATTTTGAGCAACAGAGAATGCTAATGGACTGTGTGGTGATGAGAGATCCAAATACTAAGGGCTCCAGAGGCTTTGGGTTTGTCACATATGTCGCTGTGGAGGAGGGGGATGCCTCCACAAATGCAAGGACACACAAGGTGGATGGAAGAGTTGTGTAACCAAAGAGGGTTGAATCAAGAGAAGATTCTCAAAGCCCTGGTGCCCACTTAACTGTGAGAAAGATTTTTGTTGGTGGCATTAAAGAACACCAACTAAGAGATATTTTGAACAATATGGGAAAGTTGAAGTGATTAAGATCATGACTGACCAAGGCAGTGGCAGAAAGAAAGCTTTTGCTTTTGTAACATTTGATGACCGTGACTCTGTAGACAAGATTGTCATTCAAAAATCCCATACTGTGAAGTCACAACTGTGAAGTAAGTAAAGCCTTATTGAAGCAAGAGATGGGTAGTGCTGCATCCAGCCAAAGAGGTCAAAGTGGTTCTGGAAACTTTGGTGGTTGCTGTGGAGGGTGGTTTTGGTAGGAATGACAACTGTGGTTGTGGAGGAAACTTCAGTGGGTTAGGTGGTTTTGGTAGTAGTCGATGTGGTAGTGGATAGGGTGGTGGTGGGGATGGTTATAATGGATTTGGTCATGATGGAAGCAACTTTGGAGGTAGCGGAAGCTGTCATGATTTGGGCAGTTACAACACTCAGTCCTCAAATTTTGGACCCATAGAAGGAGGGAAATTTGGAGGCAGAAGCTCTGCCCCTATGGTGATGGAGGTCAATACTTTGCCAAACCATGAAACTAAGGTGACTATGGTAGCTCCAGCAGCAGCAGCTAGTTCCAGTGGCAGAAGGTTTCAATTACTTCCAGGAAACAAAGCTTAGCAGGAGAAGAGAGCCAGAGAAGTGACAGGGAAGCTACAGGTTACAACAGATTTGTGAACTCAGCCAAGCACAGTGGTGGCAGGGCTTAGCTGCTACAAAGAAGACATGTTTTAGACAATACTCATGTGTATGGGCAGAAAACTCGAGGACTGTATTTGTGACCAATTGTATGACAGGTTATTTTAGTTTCTGTTCTGTGGAAAATGTAAAGCATTCCAACAAAGGGTTTTAGTGTAAATTTTTTTTCCACCCATGCTGTTGATTGCTAAATATAAGAGTCTGATCATGACACTAAATGAAAGTGTCTTTAAAAAAAGAATGTATATAGAAATAGGGGCACCTGGGTGGTTCAGTCGGTTAAGTATCTGACTCTTGGTTTTAGCTCAGGTCATGATCTTAAGGTACTGGGATCGAGCCCCACATGGAGCTCCATGATCAGTGAAGAGTCTACTTGAAATTGTCTTTCCCTCTCTTTCTGCCCCTCCTGCTCATTCTCTTTCTCTCTAAATAAATAGATAAATCTTTTTAAAAAAGAGAGAGAGAGAATATATACAGAAATAGAAGAAATTATAAATAGCTAGGATTTTTTTTTATTTACTCATGAGAGAGAGAGACAGAGAGAGAGAGGGAGAGGCAGAGACACAGGCAGAGGGAGAAGCAGGCTCCATGCTGGGAACCTGACATGGGACTCGATCCCAGGACTCCAGGATCATGCCCTGGGCTGAAGGCAGGCGCTAAATCACTGAGCCACCCAGGGATCCCCAATAGCTAGGATTTATTGAGCATTTTTTATGTGCCTGTTATGACCCAGCATGGACGAGAAACTGTCTATTATAATATGGCTGAGGAAAGAAAAGACCAGTAAAAAGAATTTATGTAAAGTCACACCACAATAAGCACTGAGGGCTCATACCTACATATGTCTGCTTCCAACTGACTAGCTGTAGTCACTACCTCAATAGGGCTATTTGCTAGCATCTGGTCAGGAGGATGCGGAATAAACTCAACCAGCAATGGCTTGAGTAACATAGGACTTGGTCTAAGTTGCATCATTCCAATGGACCCAAATTCCATGTAAGCCAGGTAATTTTGTAGGGCCAGAGAGAATAAATATACTAATCTACAAAGTGGAAAAAATTCTTAGTTCATCCTCAATTTTGGGGGCATATGTGTGTTACAGCTCAACCATATCAATTTGTATTGCTTAAACTATCTTTCATTAATTAGATGAAGACCAAACTTACTTAAGCAAGAATGTTCCTAATCATATACCTCCCTCACCTATTAAAGAGAGTTCCCTTAGAGAATAAATTTCTAATTTGTCTTTTTAGGGAAATTTAGTCTTTGTTAGAACTAAAGAGTTCTAAGTCAGGGATTATATAGTTTGGAGCAAAACAAAGGTGCAGGAAAAAAGGTCTGGAAGATAAAAGAAACAAGCAAATGTGATTTTGTTGAGAATATCATTTGGGAAATAAGATTGAAAGAGGGAAGACCTAAGAATGTAATAGTTTCCATCACTTTGGTGCAAGAATAGAAAAGCACAGAGAACTCTAGAGATGTTCTGTAATGCATTAAGAAGAAATTGTCATTGCCTTGACATTCTTAAATGGAGGCTCCAAAAAGACTTCAATAGCTTTTAATTATTTTTGACTGATTGGATGGATTGTACACCCTTGAATTTCCCTCCATGTGGGTCTGAACTATAGTTCAGACATCAGAATCCTATTCAGGCTCTACTAAATCATAGTATGCCAAAATATAAAATTAATAAAATTGAAAGTCTACTTTAATGACTATTTAAACTTCCAAATGCCCTTTACCATGGGCTGTTGCAGCTGAAGGATGAGCAAATTTAGAGCTGATTGTTGTCCAGAAAATTACCCTGCATTAGAACAACCTTTGTTTTCATCCCCCATATCATGTACTTACTGTTTGAGGACTGAGTGGCATGAGGATAAGACCATAAAACATTGTCACCTACTCTAAGGTCAAAAGAACTACTCCATCCTATGGATGTGTAATGGTTTTCAGAGGAATTGTCAAAATACTCAGGATTCTTGCATTGAGGATTCTGTTTGTTTCTCTGACTACAGAATGAAAGCATCTCTTTTAAGTAAAAATAGATCAAGTCCTTTCCTACAGCCATAGCATGCTAAAGACTTCTGAATCTAGGAGGAGAATACAGTCATTAAAGATGTCATAGTTGGGGGCAGCTCCTGTGGTGCAGCGGTTTAGTGCCGCCTGCAGCCTGGGGTGTGATACTGGAGATCCGGGATCAAGTCCCACATCGGGCTCCCTGCATGGAGCCTGCTTCTCTCTATGCCTATGTCTCTGCCTCTCTCTGTGTGTCTCTCATGAATAAATAAAGTCTTTAAAAAAAAAAGATGTCATAGTTACCAATATATAATAGGATAAATATAAAGAAAACCACTCCTAGACTTGTCGT